TATGATTATATCATTCGATTCATGAGACTACCTGATCGCCTACAATTACCTATGTTAATTATTATTTTATTTTTATTTTTTATTTTAACATATAGGATGTTGGTATTGCTATCAAAATATATTATATTTGGAATTTAAATTTTTGTGTAGTTGATAAGTGGTATTCATATATATATTTAAGGTTGGTGGAAGGGGGGAAGAGGGACGAAGCCCCCCACAGGTCTGTGTCAAATAATTGCGCATGTGGAACGCAGTTTTTAAATCGTTGGACTGAGCTCCTCTACTTAATTTTTCCCAATTCGAGCACTGCTTGGAAATATTTTTAATTATTTTTATAGTTTAATTCTGGACTTAAAAACATTTAGAAATATTTTTATAAAGTTTAATTTCAGGACTTAGAATTTTAACAGCTAATTTTAATTTATTGTACTTAGAATAATTTTAACAGTTTGATAAACCAACTAATCATAAAGAATATTAATTATTTCATTATTATACCTACATCCAAGCGTTGACTAGATTACTTGTAACTGAAATAATGATCAAACGGTTGGCATGCAACTCTACAGGTTTTTCAAACTCGAAGTATCAAGTGGTTATATTGATTATTAGTTTACTCCGCGGGCCGCAAATAAAATTTTAACGAAAAAATAAATTGTATATTATTATATACAGATATGTATACATATAAAACCATTAATAAAACTTACTCGATTACAGTTCATCAGAATATAAGACATAATAACACATACCAAATATAACATTAAATTTTCGCAGGATACAAGTTACAACCGATAATTTATTTATGTGATAAAATTATTATTCTGCATTAGTACAGTACAGTAGCGGCTCGTGCTATGGGGCCACGGGCATGTGTCCCATCTACAAAATTGAAAGAAGGAAGAATAATTTAAAATTGAATGCTAATGGTATTTCTTCTAACAATCATAATATTATTGGTAATTGGTATATTATTTGAAAATATTATTGAAGAAAAAAAAATGTTTATGAAATACGGGTGCTCCTACGTACATACTGATACTATATTATACGGTCATTAGACGGTGAGTACAAATTCATTGTGCCCCTATGGCTCGATCATTTATTTTATAATATACAATTATATTATATTATAAAATCAATGGCACGATTAACAGTGATAGATTTCTCCTACTTTCTGATAAGAATTAGTACGGCGTTACCGAGCACAATCGTATTGTGCCAAAATTCTATTTTTATAAGGATTTCCGAGATTTTGTTTATTTTATCGTCTTCGTATTGTTATCGTCTAAAGGCGCGTCCACATAGTATGAAAACATGACACACAGTTCACGCGCTTGAATCATGTGTGATGTTTGCAAACATCACATACTGCACACACGTTCACCGTACACATAGTATTTAGTGTATTTGATTTTCGTGTTGTACATGAATGAAGTAAGTTGCGTAAACACTGAACACAGTTGGATTTTCGTATTCGTCCAGAGTGGTTATAGGTATTTTGTTAAAAAATGAGTGATACGGATGATAAATTAATGATTGCTTGTGCCGCGTACGTAGTAATGAATAGTGTAGTTAAAAAAAAACAAAAACGTAAATTAAAAAAAAATCGCCGATTTTGGGTTAGTGAAATTTAGGATTCCACAAAACGGGATATTTTTCATATTCATTGATTAATTGTAATATTTGGTCGTCAGTAAAGTCCATTTTAAATTATGTAATTTGAAAAAACTACTATAATTTATAACCTACACCGTACTTGTACACTGACAAAGTGACAATGATCGTTTTATTTTTGTCGCGTTCCAACTTTGATTCAAACAGTAAATACATCAAAATCATGAAAAACCCCGTCCAATAGTAGTCATAATTTTCTTTGATGTACCGACAATCCGGCAAACACGAAATACACACGTATGCGCTGTATGTGATGTGTGCAAACGCGTCCACACTATGGCCCTTTTCATACGAGACGGTTTCGTCCGTACGGTTAAAATCCGTACGATTTTTTTCCGTACAGACTTTGTTTTCACACATAACGTATTTTTCCCGTGAATCGTCTACATTTGGTTATATATTTTAATTTTAACTCAGTTGGCTTTCAACATGTATTGAAAACGCATTATTGCCATGTGTTTTTTATATCGTCGTATTCAAAAGTATCGAAAACAACGAAATCGTATTTATTGGGTGCACCCAATTAATCAGAGAAGAGATGAAGTGGGGACATTCGTTTCTTTAATGAAAGAATTACGCGCAGACGAAAACAAATTCTTTAATTAATAATATATAATATTAAAATGCTTTAGTACAAGTGACCACAAAAACGGACGGCAGACGAATAAAAATCGTATTTTGTGAATGCGTTCGCGTAGTCACCTACGCCACTGATAAGACGGCGACGGCACGGTCGCCGTATATTTCAGTCGTTGAGACGGCTGTTTTAAATCGTCCGTACGGAAAAAACCCGCCTCCGTCCAGTGTGAAAGCTTTAGTTAATTTTATTAGTTTACTATTAATGGCTCACGGATAAAAACCGTACGGTTTTTTTCCGTACGGAGAAAATCGTCACATGTGAAAGAGGCCTATGACCGTTTTTGATGAATGCTGTATGTGCGTGTGCTGCGTGTCGTGTTTGCATACTATTTGGACGCGCCTTAACCGTGGCACAGAACAAACACTAATTATTTTATCATAAATTATAGGAACATTATAATAATTACAAAAAAAATTATTAAAATTATTATTAAACATTTATGTTTTGTAGAAGATTTTATGTCCATTATGCTTAAAAATAATATAATGATTATTTATTAGATAAGTACATTCCCAAAAACGCTACATTTCCACTTATTTGGGCATAACAGCCAGGTCATATATATCGTAATCGTATACGATGTTAATAGTAAAAAACCTGTTATTTTTTTAAATTTTAAATGTTTTATTTTTTTCATAAAATTCCAAATTAAGAAAATTATTATAATAAAAACTTAATTTTGTATTATGAAAATAAAATATTATATTAATTTGTAATTTCATAATATATTATTTTATTTCCTTAATTGTTAATTCTTTAAATTTAACTTTGTTTCTAAAACTACAACTTATCTTACATATGTCCTATTTGTACATATATGGCTGTGCGCCCCTCCTCCCTCGTAAATAATTTCTGAATCCGCCACTATTCCTAACTTCTTTTGTAAATAGTATCAACTATAAAAATATTTGATCAGTATATCAAGTGTCTAAATCAAAAAACTTCCATTTAGTATATAATTGTATACAGACATTATTTGATATTAATTTGTATTTCCATCATGTCAATACACACAGATAATTTAAACGGTGCGATTACCTCGCGTTTATTTACATTAATTTATAATTTGTTTTTTGTCATAGATAAGACGTAATTTTCTAGTTACAGACAACTAAAATTGTTATATTTATGTTACTTAAATGTCTATATATAAATTTCATGAATTCTAATAGGTAGCCACAAATAATCCTAAATGTCACTTGGAACTGATCATCAGGTCTTTAGCTCTTTCAGTGCTCAGTGCAAGAATTATTTAGACAATCCTCCATCTTAAAAAACTTAAACAGCATAGGCGGAAATCGGGAAGGGGAGGGTTCTTAACTCCTCACATATATTAATAGTCCCCCCAAAATCGAAACTTTGTTAGAAATGTTATTCGTTGTTTTTATAATTATCTGTTCGTTTTTTTTTGAAAATCGTAAAATAAGAAATAAGAAAAAACTATTTACAATAGCATTAACAATATCAATTAGTTCGGCTACTTGCAAAAGAAATTTCAGTGCAATGATAAAAATAAAAACTTAGCTAAGGACATCCTTGGTTCAAGATGGGTTCAGTGATCTTTGAATACTGTATATTGAAAAAGATATATCGAAAAATATAAAAAACGATGATATTTTGAGTATCTTTGCTAATACAAATAGTTATTTGTCATTAAAATAAAATATTAATTATTTTTAAATATACGTTATTTAGTGTTTTTTTTTAATACGATTCAAACATATCTATATTTTTAATGCTAATAAGTTTTACTAGTGAATGGGAAAGGGGTGTAGGGGCGAAGGCCCTGCAGGTTATTTTACATTGAATTTTTATAGCCCCCCCAAAAAAAAAAAAATCAACCAAATGTCCGCTTATGTTTAACAGGAAAAATTTTGGGAGCGGGAGGGGCCTCGTTCATAATCAAAAATGCTCAAAATAATTTTTCAAACGTGTATATTTGCCACATATTTGAAAATCATTCATAGAACAAACATAATTATTGTAATAATATAGTGATAGTTTATAAAACTGTAATTGTACCTACAAGAGCGGCCAATTCTTACATGCTGATAAAATAATAATCACGATGTGAAATTTTTTTTTTTCTTAAGTGATTAATAAAATTTAATTCTAATTTTGACGCTTCTCACACGTCCTGATTATGCCGTTTGCCGTCGCACACGTCGATCGTATCTAAAGCCGGTTTCGCTGACCACATTTGATATTTTTAAATCTAAAGGATGGACCCATTGTCGTCTTTTAATTTTGTTTCGTTACTGTTTCTTGCATATTTTATATTTATTGTATGATGTAAAAATAACACATACGGCTTTAATAACGTCCATCGCTTCCACGTAGAAAAAGAATAAAATATGAAATGAAACAAAACGAAATTTAATTTTCAATAGGAAATTAACAGCAGTCATCCACAATGAGCAGTGACAGCAGTACTAATCTAGTATGCAACAAAATATAATGAACTGAACATTTGGAACGTTTATGATTTTTGGAAAACGCACACAAATCATTCAGTGTGAAAACAGAGCGCAATTTTGAAGCGCGCGTCCGACGATTTTGAATCATCTAGTGTGTAAATCAGCTTGATTGGGTTTAGACTTTAGGAAGTGTGATAAAAAAATTGATTATATTTCGTAAACAAACCACTGATATAACCTCCAAATACTGTCTCTTATCAATTTCTATCAACTAAAAATATTTAGTGCATGTTTTTCGTTAGCGTACAGCAAAAGACGATGGCATAAGTTCAAAGACATCGTCTCTTTAGAATAATATTAAACGAGCTTTTCGTCCAATACACAAGTATACACCGTTCATTATGGACGGAAACGACTTTATGATGGATCAACAAGTAAGGAAACTAATTGCTATAACGCCGAATCTTACTGTAGACGAACTTTGAATAACACTGGACGCCCAAACCATTCAAAAGTTTCGATAGTTTTACTCGCTACAGCTGTGGTTTAAAATATGCTTAACGTTTATTGGGGATGCATTTTACAATATTACAATTTCCATTGATCTTATTCGGATTCCTGCTTGCAACTTGTTGCACTTAATTCAAAACGATAAATAAAATATAATGTTCAGACCCTATCAAGTTTTGAAGTACAGTAATGTGCCGTTTTTCAAAACCTTATCTAATGTTGTAATGTAATCAAGATTCAAGTGCATCAAATTTAATATAAAAACTGACAGTATTATTTTACTTCATTTATTTTTTATATATAATCCATACATATTTGGTTATTTGAGTCTATAGGATTGATAAATGACATCATAGAACTGTAAATTATTTTGGTTATAATAATTGTAAACAATTTTTGTTTTTTTTTATCTAGTGTATTTATGGGTTTTAAGTAAATGATAGATTATTTTGATGGATTATCACAACTTTTCTCATATCATTGATTTAAATATTAAATAGATGAAGTATTCAACTAAAGATATGATTTAGTAATAGTAGTATTAGTTTTGAAGTTGATACTATTTGAATAGTAATGTATTACCTTTCCTTTTATATGTATATATGTTGTTTTTTACTTATCTTTTTTCATTGTTATACAATTTTATTTTGAATTGAATAGTAAAACTATGGTTGTATGTACTTATATTAAATCTTTTTTGTGTTATTTTCTTCTGTCTATGTTATTGCATTTAAAAAATAAAAATTTAATAACATTTATTTTTTTTAAATGTTTTTTTTTTTGTATTCTAAAATCAAATGTTTTATTTATATTAAGATTTACATTTTAGTAAATTAATAAATACATTTTTTTTATTTAATAAATTCTATGCTGAATATAAATAAAGAATTTTTTTTTCACAAAAATATTTTACTGTCTCTTTTAAATCTGTAACAATTATAATAAAGTACCTCTGTTGAATTGAGGTTAAACAAATTTTACTGTATAATATTGTTTTTTTTTACCTTTTAGACAAATGATGATTTTGAAGAAGAAATTTATGACGAGGACAGATATGATGCTCTTAATGATGAAACATTTGGGAATGATATGTCAGGTAATATTGTAGTTAATGATTAATTATATTGTTGTACTTATAATGCAAAATTCTATATTCTATAGAAAATATAAAAGTAGATTTGACTTTTCTTTTATACTTAAGATGATGATTTATTTTATTGATAATATAAGTATTAATTATATGAAAACAAGATAGTGTAAGAAATTTATTGTAATCCAATGAAATTCTAATGAAATCACTTTTTGATCTTTCAGGATCATTATTTTTTATATAATTGTATTATTTTATTATTTTTATTTGTTGAGCTTATAGCATATTCTTTAAATAAAGTTTTACTTACTAACTATTAAGTAATATATAATATATAATTTATTTATTTTTATTAGGAAGGATTTCAGTACTACAGCCATTAATATTCTTTATTTATTTATATAATGTTAGGTGAATGGGTTGGTTTAAGTAGAGTGAAATAGGCTATAGAAATTTCTTCTCCCAGAGCAGAATGACTACTCGTTGAAACTGCCAGTAGTTGGATTTGAACCGTGAACTGTGCACTTAGACCCAGCTTCCTTATTTTACTTGACCACAATACTCTCACATATATTGTTTATTGTTTATTAAACAGATGGTGATTGGGAAACTGATCATGAGAAATATGCAAAGTTTGATGAAGTCACCAAAAAGAGATGGCCTGATGGAACTGTAAGTATTTAAGGATAAAAAACATCAGATATTATATTAGTTAATTCATTAAAAAATATTTATTGTTATTATTTGTGAAATTATTTTAAATATATTATCATTATGAAGTAGGAAGTTCCGTTAAATACAATGCCTATCCAAATTTGAATTTGTGTACATTTGTATTCTTTCTCCATTTAATAAAAAAAAGGAAGAAATTTAGGTCTGATCTTGCCAGAAATTCTAACAAAAATTGATGAATGATATTGCTATATTAATTTTTTAAGACCGAAATCAATGTACTATTGCTATTAAAAAAAATGATTCTGACTGAAATAAGTCATGTGAATCTATTTAAATTTCTAATGATAGTTGAGATAGAATAGTAGAACATAATTTCAGAATAGGGTAGGATTTTTTTGATCCAACTTCTAGATAAAAAAGAAAAGAATAAACTGCGCAAATTTCATTGAAATATTCCAAAACTATGTATTTCACTTTCAAAAATTTTTATTGAATCAAAATTATTTTATCGATATTTTCGAAAAATTTATGAAAATGTTATAATTTCAATTTTTTTAAATAGCTCAAAATTTTTTAAAAATTATACTTATAAAATTATCTATAGTAAAAAGTAATATAAGCATTCTGTGAAAATTTCAAATCTCATATTAATTATTTTTTTTTGAGTTACAATAAAACAAAAATTCAATTTTTTTTGAAAATCAGCTTGTTAAAATGTTAAAATAACCACCTTCAAAAAAATAAGTATAAGCTAAATCCAGTTAACTATATTTTATTTTATTTTCTGAGCAATATTTTTGGTTAAAATTGTGCGCACAGATAAACAAAAAACAAAAAAAAACACTCATAATCATACCAATTCATTTTTTCGTTTCACACTGAATTTAAAAATAATTATAGAAAATGTACTTTTTAAATTTACATTTAGGTTAATATATATTTAAATGGAACCATATAAATTAACTAGGTATATAATTTACTATTGTTAATGATATTTTGATTTAATTTAAGTATATTAATAAAACTAAACTGTAAATGTTAATTATAAAACTATTTATTTTATATTAATAGGAAAATGATGATTATTTAACAACCTCAGCTATTGAACCTAATGTATTCACAGAGTCTTTAAAGTCATTACCTGAATTAGAACGAGAACTAAGACAGCTGCATACATATAACCACCAATTTGATATTCCGGTAATTTTAACGCTTTTATTAAATACATATAAAAAGTATTTTAGTATTTTTAATTATTTCATTTTATTTCAATTTTATAATAATTAAATTGTTTTTGTTTTTAAATGTTATTTCTTATACTTGTAATTAATATATTTATTTATCCTGAATTTCTTTTAGCCACCTTTACAATATCAAAATACTTATAATTTTGCCAATCAAAGTATGTGTATGAATCTACCAAGTAATAACTGTGGTCCTATTAGAAGACCAATTCCTGTTCAAGGATCTAATTCTACATCACGAGTAAAATATTACATATTATAGAATTATTTTACTTTGCTTTAATGTATTGTGTATATTTATGTTTGCTTTTAACTGGAGAAAAGTGAATAATTTGAGTTTTTTACTAATTTATAGTAAATATATATGAATTTATTGTAACATGTATTAATACTATTATTAATGATTACATTGAAGTCTTAATTATCAACTTCTTTCTGAAAAAAATTGTTGAACAAATCTTCATTTTAATGTTTTGAATATAGAAATTAATTATTCAATTATAATTGATGACTTTATTTTGATTAAATATTTTCTACTATAAATATTTTTTTTCCTATCTCATGCTTTTTATTCAAATATTCTATCAAATAAAAATAAGACAAAAAAATATGTTTTTCCAATCATTATATTTACATGTTTTCATTTACTATTGTTATTTTCTACAGCAAAATTTATTTACTTGATTTTTAGTAAATTTAAAAAAATAATTATTATAATTTAGAAACTTCAAGTTTTGAAATTAGTTGATGATCTTTCTGAAAGGTCTTAGAATATCATGACTTATTGTTCTTCATTAGTTTAATTACATTTACATTTAATCTTAATTTATCTTTAAAAAAATCAATTATTTTTAAAATTCTAACCAGAAATTTTTTATTTTTATTTATCAAGTCATTAAAACTTACCTCAAAATATTTGTAATTTTTGAAGCATAAAATAATAAAAATATAAATAAATACTTATTTTAGAGTATTATGATATATGTAATGTGTAACGAGTTTCAAATTAAGAATTCATCATCCGGTATACATAAAGTCAATAAAATTTGCAAATAAAGCAGTTACAATAAAGTTGGATTATTTTTATAATTAAAATAATTTTAGAAAGACTATAAATAAAAGAATAATTATAAATATGAAATATCCATGATATCATTTATATTAATTCAGTTTCAGAAGAGTTACTCAAACAAACACAATGAAATAAAAGAAAACTATTTTAATAATATTTTTAATGTACAAACTCATTTTAAAAATAATATCTTATATCAATGAATTTTAGATAATAATAAATTATAACAACCAAAGTATTTATATTTCTTAACATATCTATTTATAATAAAAACTAATTTTAAATAATTTTTAATAGGAGACTATTAAAAATAATTTTCTCTATATAAAAATGATCAATTTTTCTCAATGTATTCTTTCCATTATTATCCTTTTATTCAGTCTCGATTTTATTGACTTTGTATATACTTGATGAATTTTTTATTCCAAACCGGTCATACATTACAAATATAATAATACTTTATTTATGGATCAGGTTAATCATTTATTTATTTATTTCTATTAATAAACTAGTTTTTATATGTTAATTTACGAGTATTAACAATTTACTAATTTTATTTTATTTTTTATTACTTTATTATATAAAAATAGTATAAATGTATTAAAAATACTAAAAATAAATTATAATTGGTATGTATTTTAATTATAAAAATAATCCATCATTATTTTAACTGTTTTATTTGCAAATTAATTATCGCAACAGAAAATTAATTTTTGTCTTGTTTTTTATTTCATATAAAGTAATTAAAAATGATCGAATAATATATAAAATGCATAAGTACTATCATGAAAAGAGCTAATTTTTCGCATTATCAGCTTTAAAATTGAGAACTTTTAGTTAAATTATGAATGATTTATTTTGCAACTATTAGTTTAGTTAACAGCTAAATGGTGTTTATTTATTTTTGAAATGTAGATATGATAAAGATAATATTTGTGTTTAATATAGATTATATCAATAATATTAATCATTTTGAATTATTTTACAAATAAATTTCGAAATTCATTATTTATTTAATCGTATTTAATTTTTTTTTTTCTGAAAATTACTGCCCTTCAATTTTTTTAAAATTGCTCTGGCCTTTATGATAATTGCTTAAGTGTGGTTCTATATTTGTACTAACTGAATGTTGATTGTTGTAAAATGTTTTAATATTTTTATATGAATACTAACAAAATGTTTCATAGAATGTTTTCAATGCACCTCCTGGGTTCAGAAACGCAAATGGACACATGGAGAATATTTTGTCTAAACCTCCACCAAAAGTATCAGCTATAAGTGTTGCTGACTTAGAGAGACAAATGGTATTTTTATTTAATTGTATTTTATTTTTATTAATAGGGCTAGGACTGGATTCCCTAAAAATAATTTTTTTAGACAAATTAAAATTTGCTATAATAATACATGTACCTAATTCGAATAATTTAGTAAGAAATTATAAAACTAATGATATTACCCATGTTCGATTTGAGTCAGTGTTTCCAAAACGTGATAACGTAGAAATGAACTTATACTAACCTACAAAAATGAAGTATAATATAAACGAAATGTTTATACTTACAGTTGAAATACACCCTGAAATAAATAAATTAATAATAAACGTCACAATAAATATTTTACTAAATTATGTGTAATGATTATTATTATTATAAATACTGAAAATTCGAATTTGAAAATAAATGATTGTGGTTGGGATTTATGTTTTGTAAGTTGGTATTGCTATTTGGTTTTGATATCCTATTATATTTTATGGGCTGTTATTAATTCCTGGATTTATGCACAGTCAACATCAGGGCATGAATTCCAATAAAAGTTACTCCAGCATTTTATGTATCACAAACATGTGGTAACCAAATTCCCTGTTAGGAATGAGTGTAAATATATTACAATAATTTTAGAATTACATTATTTTATTATACATATTTTTAATTTTTAAATAATTGCATTGATTTTAATGTATTAAAAGATCAATGATATTGTCATAATACAGAGTGCGACATAATGGACTCCCACATTTCCGAGGTGAATAAAAAAAAAAAACTATACAAGAAAAAGAAAAAAAATGATATTTTTAAAAACTTTATTATATAAGGTTTTTTAATTATTTTTTAAAAATTATATCATCTAAATAATTGATGAACAACACACATATGGATCCGTTCTCGTAAGTTTTCTATCACTCTCGCCAGCATATCGAGTGAAATCGTAGAGATTTCTTGATAGATAGCCTCCTTCAGTTTTTCAATGGTTCTATGTCGATGTTTAAAAACTTCAGAATTGAGATATCTCCATAAGAAATAGTCACATGGACTCAAATCAGGGGAGCGAGGAGGCCATGTAATGTTTTCCTTTAAGATCAGGCGACCAGGAAACATTTTTTACAAAACAGCACGAGAAAAACGGGCCGTACGAGCTGTGACTCCACCTGTTGAAACCAGAAGGCATCAGTATTTTTGTACTCTTCAATTTTCGGGCGTAAAAAATTCTCCAACATCTTGCAGTACTGGTTGGAAGTCACGGTATTTGTGACACCACCCTCTTAAAAAAAAAAATAATCAATGGCCGAACTGCGGCAATGTTTTCCAATGTTCTTAGAGACTTGAGACGTCCAACCCATTTTTTAGGCATTGCAGATACCGTTGCTCTTAAATTTTATGCCCAATTCAAAATCGTTTTGCGATTAGGGACACTTTTGTTTGGATTCAAACCGAACCGAGAGCGAAATGCTCTCTGTGTTGCAGTCACACATTCGTTGTTTTTGAAAAATGCCTCGATAACGAATCTACGTTGTTTACCGGACCACGGTGACGACTTAAAACCTTATTAATAATCTAATCTAGCGAAATAAACCACTTTAATCTAATAAGTTTGATTACGCGTTAATGATTATTTGAAATATGGAAGTCCATTACACCGCACCATGTAATAAATATTATAGATGCTATTATTGGTGTGAAAATGTTGCAGAAAAAATAATGTATAAAGTAATAAAAATTGTTATATTTCACAGTTTTATTTGTTTTAGCTAAAAAAAAAGTTGTTTATTTATTTAAACTATATATTTATAAATTATATGTGTTAAACGAATAATGCATAATCTCTCCAGTCCTAGTATTTAACATCTCTTTGTCTTATTTGTATATAACATTTCGTTACATTTTAATTTAAGTGTAGTATTTATTAAAAAAAAATTGTTTTAAGATTTTAGAATGTGTACTTTTTTAATAATTGATCTAGTTAGTAATAATAAAAAACAGGCTTCAATATTATTTGTAGATTGATGCTGTTAAAATAAGTCCATCTTACAACCATCCAATACCAGAGGTGAACCAAGGATACTTACCTATGCCTTCATACTACAAGCGTGATTTTCCACAATATAATGCACCAAACATGCGTGCTATGCCAAAAAGTAATTTTTACTACATATTTTAATAATATTTATATTATTACAATATTAATATTAATATGTATTTTGAAATTTTAATAAAATTACTCGTGTTAATGTGTGCCATAGAAAACTAAATTAATTTGAATTTTCATAACTTAATAATAATTTAGTCAAAGTAAATTAATCTGGGTTTGTTAGTTGTAAATTTTAATTTGGACAAAAAGAGAAAAGCCTTAGTTGATAAATGTGTAATCCTTTAAATTTTTTATATATAACTATTATTTTAAATCTATAAATTTTCCAATAAATTTTATTTGAAATAATTGAATTTTTTGGATTTACACAACTAGTTTTTCTATCAATATGATTTTTTTATGTATTTAAATTATAAAATTGATTTTTTTTTATTTTAGATTTTCCAAGAAATAACAACACTTCAAGAAATATAGTAAATGTTAAAAGATATAATAATAATAATATGGGATATCAACATTATCCAAAAATGGTTGGCTTATAATTAATGTATTGTATTATTATTTTTTGTTACTAAAATTTTTAAGTATATTATAAAGTTAAAATTGTATATTGTTAATATTTTAAAAATATAAAAAGTTATTATTTTACAGTCTGTTCATGTGTTTGTATAATTGAGTTATTATAAAAAGATTATTTCGATTACATTTAACTTATTTTTCTAAGTATACTTTAAACATTTTTTTTATTCTTTTGAGATTCAAGTTTTGATTGCAGTGTTTGGAAATTTTAGTTATAAAATGTATTACAATTTAATACAATAAAAGTTTACCGTAATATTTTTATAAATATATCTTTTTTAACATTAACCATTCTTCAGTTTATTGAATCCATATTATTCATTGGACAATTTGAAACCCTTTAGAATTAAAATTATTTTTATATCTTAATATTATCACTTATCTAGATTTTATTGTATGTTATTTATAAATTATAATTATTCCTTTTATTTTTTGTATTATGCTTTTTGCCTGTTATTTGATTAAATTTTAACTTTATAATTTTTAATTATTGTTCAAATATATTAATTGAATATTGAAGAAATATATTAATACTTAAATTTATTTTTCAATCATTAATAATGGAATTATACTTTTTAGCAGAAAAATTATACATTTGATGAGCAGTCAGATTATAATGATTCTGGTGCTGGTTTTATGACATTGAGGGAAAAACATTGGCTGGCTGGAATACAGACTATACAATTTCATAACAGTAACCCATTAGAAGAAGATTACTATTTCACTGTTAGTAAAATAATGTAGAAATAGAAAAGCCATAAAACTATGCTATTTATTTTCAATTAATTCATAATGCATTTGTGAGGTTTTTATATTTTATCTTTTTTTTTTTATTATTTATTAAATTCATTATTGTAATGAAAATTAAATTCATCAGCTGTATTATCTTCAAATAATAATTTTCCATATAAATATAAAATAAAAATATTTGAAGATGTAAGGAAGTATTTGAAAGTTGGACTAAAAAGAGGTCTTACAAGTTTCTTTAAAAATAAAAATATAATTAATTTTAATGTTTTTAGAATAAATTATATGTATAATTAATAATTATTCAAGAGTGGTGGATTATCTTACGTATTATAAAATATAAATTAATTAATCATGAATAGTCATAATGATTTCAATAAATTTTACTTAAATGTTATAAATATTTATTATTTATTTATTTATAGATGTATCAAAAACGTCATCATGGTTCAAGTGGACCAAAACCCAACAGTATTTTTCAACAACCTGAGCAATCCAGAGCTACCAATTCGTATACACAATTACACTTCGAAAATTCTTTAGGAAAAGTTTTGGTTCGTATTCATTAGGTTTACAGCTCTTTATATATTTGATTTTTGCCTTATGTAATATATAACATGTCTGAATTCTATAAACTTATATTTAGTCATTATGCTTATTCTTATATTTAAACTTGTTAAGTTATACTAACAAAAATATAAAAATTTTAAAATTTAAAATTTATAAATTAAGATAATTGTTCAAAAGTATTTGAATAAAAAAAATTACATAGATTGTTATATTTAATTTTGTTGTTGATGTAATATTTACTAACTATATCAGTTGTTAAACCTCTTAAGTTTAAAAATGTCACAGTTCTGTAACTGCAATAAATATTTATAATTTTATTTTTAATGTTGCACAAGTTTGATAAATTAATTCACAATAAATATTTATTAATTAATGTTACATGAAAAATGTATTATCTGAATCAGATTAAACTACTTGATTATCAAGTTCAGCATTTACCAAACTTTTTTTCTGCCAGACCCCTTAGTACAAATAAAAATTAAAAAACAATAATAAATTATAATACTCTGTATATATTAAATTTACGTTCATGGACCCGCTCCGTTAAATGTGCGGACCCCTAAGGGTCCACAAACCACAGTTTGGGAAACGCTGGCTTAGTTAAATGCAATTTCCTAAAATACATTTTTATTTAAAACTAATTTGATAGGTCAGTCTATATTTGTATGAAAATTATTTTTATCAAAATTATAAGATTATAAATCATGTATAATTTAATTAATTGTAATCATATAATTTAACTAACTTATTATTTCAAAAATTACAATATATATTTTACTTTTAATTTTATTCTGTTTTAGATTGGCAGCGTAATAACTCCAAGAAAAATGATTGATATTGAAACACAAGATTTTACACCTACTTCAACATCAACAAATCGTGTTATTGTTTCCCAAAAAAATTCAAAACAGATCCTTTTAGAAATTGAACATGTTAGTTCTATTTAATTATAATATGATAGTAATTATTTATAAAACATACATTTAATTTTCATATATTTTATAGATGTACATACCGTTACTGAAAATTGAACAAACTTATTATACAATAAGAAACAAAGCACAAGCAGCACCTGCTGTTCAGCAGTACATTGATGAATTAACTGATATTCTTACTAAGCATTTACATCATTTAGTATCATATGTGACTATACGTAAAGGAAAAGTAAGCAAACACTTCTATTGTAATCAAGAATCATTTTTCAATTATTACTGTGGTTAATTTTAATTGTATAATTTGGAAATATTTTTGACAAAATGTTGATAGTTATATTTGTTTTTAAATATATATTGTTTTAATTTTGTTATTAGCAATTGGTACATAGAATTTTACCACATCTCAAAAACCCATCATTTTTGTGGAGTGTATTTTTTGGTCCTTCAATTTGCACGATAATTTCAAAAGATAATGAAGACCAACTCCTATTACTGTTTTTACCATATATAAGGCAATGGATATTTTGTTTAGATTTATCTGAACTAAATCAAATTGCGGAATATTTAAAAAAAAATCTTTCATTTGTCTTAATAAGTGTTGTGAGTAAATACTTTAATTTACTTTTTTTTATTTAAAATGTTTTGCCTCCAAAACTAAAAGTAATATTTACATAAATATATGTATTATGTTTGTTTTAGTTTGGTATATCAGTTATTGCGAATATGATTGAACGAGCAGAAGAAGTTCGACCGTCTACAGAATTAAAGGATTTAGAACAATGGAGTGTATTTATTAGTAGTGTTATATACACTGGTTCTGAAACTACAATACAAAGACCAGTAATTGGTTTGGATAAAAAAATCATAGAAAAACATTTGACGAATTTGCCATTTGATCAGTCTATAACAGTTGAAAAAAAAATTGAATCTTATTCAAAGACTTGGTTTGGATACAACTAAAAAATAATCAATAGTCTTGAATATTCTTGAGATAATTTTAATTTTGTGTGATTTACAGTGACTACCATACTATTATGGCAAATTAAATTATCCATAATGATAGTATTTTTTTTTTTTTTTTTTATTACTATATTGGCGAAATGGTAATCTCTTGTACACTTTTTGTTTTGATGTCTAAGCATTTGTGTTGTAAATAATGTTGGAAGTTTGTTGACTGAAAACTATTTATTTTTTCTTTGCATTGATTTAGGTTTAAGGTTTTACTAGCTTTACTGAATTTGTCTCCATATAACAATTATTTATTGTATTTTAAATATTAATCTTATATTTGTTCCAGCTCATTAACACATAGTCAAATTTTAAAAAAAATTACTTAAAATAATTTGAAAATTTTCATTTTAATAATCAATTTCTTATCTATGTATGTATAGTAAATTTGTTTTAATGTTATAATCTTATTATAGTGCATATTTTAGATTTACTTAGTTTCAAAGATGTTTGTAATAATTAATTAACGAAACACTTTTTTTTATAGTTTCAATTAATTATTTTTAAGTAATTAGGTAATTTTTTTAATTTGTTTTATTTATTTTTTAAAATGACTTAATATAATTTTAATTTAATTATCAATATATATAATATACTTACTCTTGTATAAATATTAGTTCTTATGTTATTATAATTTGTATAAACTGATAAATGATATTGAAAAAATATATGTATAGATGTGTGTGTGTGTGGTGTGTGTGTGTGTGTGTATCCAAGTATAAAATCAATTGATATTGAAAGTTTTATTATTAGAATTTTAGATATTTACACATTAAGTATATCCACTAATGTGAACTATTTATAATTTATACATTGTTAAACAAAGAATTTATATTAATTACTAAACCGACAACTTCTGAACAAAATAAAATTCCTATATGATAAGCTAAGTTTAAAGAATAACAGAACCATTTTATTATAACTAGTTTTAAAACTATTAATTATGGTCTATCTGTACTCAACATTATGCAAGATATGTTTTGCCTGGAGTAATCCCATCCGACATCTTAGTAAAAAAATATTGTCTGAATTTATCTAACATAATTGAAGCTTGTTTAATATTCGTGTTTAATAACCATAAGATAATTTTTTCTTACTATATTGTGTATGGTCCAGAGTAATAAGAATAGACCTTTAACTCAAGGATAGTTTTTAATATTAAATTATATAATTTAAAATTTATTTACAACCAGTCATCGTTTATTATATCTTCAATATACGAATGTGTATTTCATTGATGTTAAATATTATAATTATATATTAGAAAAATGTAAAATAATAAAATGTATATTATAATTAATAATTCAATGAGCATAGTTAAGTTATAATTATTATATTATTGGTATACAATTTAAATGTATTTTTTAACTATATTAAATTAAAGTTTATAGAAGAAACAAAAATATTGCCATTATAGTATCCAGCAATTTATTTTACCGATTTTTTTTTTTTCATATTATATTGCTCATTATTTTAGAATACTTAATGGTTTTATAATATTTTAATAATTGTATATTTTTTTTTTTGCTAATTAACAGACTTAACAGTTATGAAAATAATATGAAATTGATATACTACACTCATAAATAATATGTGTTTAATTATAAAAAAAATCATTCATTATTGACAAAGATTAATTTAAAAATGTATTATATGAAATATAATTACACATAAAGTATGTGTAATGAAATTTAGTATATTTATTTCATTATCTTAAATTTGTAATATGAACTTAAAATATAATTATACAAATTATTGATTTTAACTTTTATACTATGAAAATATTTATGTATATTTTATCAATTAAAATATCTATCTAACTAAATATTTATTCAATTCAACTGTGGTTTACCATATAAAATAATTTATACAATGGTTGGTAGTATGTAAAAGTTATAATTGTTTAATTGAACTATTAAAATATTTTAACCAATATTCAAAAGTCTAGTCTTAATCCAGATGATGTACAATACTATTAATGTAGAAAAGTATAAAAATAAAATTTATTTAAAATTAGAATACTATATATTTAATATATAGTATTCTAACTTTAAGTATAATTATTTGTATAAATACAATTTGTTCAAAAATATTTGACATAAAGTATAGTACATCAAAATTAATTTGATCTTAAATCAAAAATATTAACAATATTACATTATTTGGGAACGCTTTTTTTAATTTACAAATCTGAATAAAAAAAAAAAAAAAACAAATACAATCACGTAATTTAAAATAAGCATAAATATTTTAATTTTAAAGTAAAGTAGCATTTAGTCTTATTGTAAAACATCAAATAAATAAAACAAATTTTATATATTAAAACGATGCATGAAGAACAATTAAAAATTAATTATATGAAACAATATTTTTATGACCATATGATAAGTGCATTTCTAAGCCAACAAGAGAACTTATAGTACTCAACCAGGTTGTAAGGGGATTGAACCTAAAAAAAATTACATTATTACAATTATTACATTCAATAAAGATACATAATTAATACAAAATGAAATATACAATTGCAATTAAAATATACTTAAACTAAATAACCATTAGAGAAATGAAAACATAAATTTAATGAATATTATAAAATAATAAAAATGCATTATGTAATGAAAAGATATTATAGTATAAATATTAAATTATATTTCAGATTTTTATTTTAGAAAATTTATAAGTAAATAAATTGCATATTCATGAATAGAAATTTGGTAGCAAAATTTATTCTACATAAAACTTAATACTAAGGATATGAAATCTTTTTAAAACACATTTTTACATATGACTTTTCCTCATTAAAAATTGTCATTATCTTGAAACTTACTCAAAAGTTTTCACAGAAGAAACACCTAAGTTATCCAAAATATGAGTATTCTTACAAGGATGTACTCTAAAAAATGGTATCCCACTTAACGGATGTTCCTGAAATAATTTTAGTCTTAATATTTGTCCAAATAATATAGAGAAAAAAGCAAAAATTAGTAGACCTTTTGAGTTATAGCATTCCATTTGTCATTATTTACTTGCTGTTTAACAAAAGAATGCACCCGTGACCATATATGCTCTATTGACAGTAATTTCCCATCTAAAAGTTAAAGTAAATGAAATGTTATTTCAGTATAATAAAATTGAATTGATGCATATGTAATGTAATTACTTGTAAACCACATGTTAAAAAACATATCTGGACTTGAATAACTAGGATTGTATAACACATGATATTCACATATGATTGTTTCACTGTCTTCTTCCAAATGAAACTCTAAAAAATAAAAAATAATATGCTTTGTTCAATAAAAATGTTTGGTTTATCTTAAATATTGATTATAATGTAAGATAACCAAAATAACAGATTCATAATTTAAATTTAAGACTAACTGAATCTTATTTGCATGTAATTAATATGTAACTTCAAATCAAACGCAAAACCATGTTTTTTAAAAGGAAGGAGTTTTAATTATGTTTATATAAATAGAGCTTTTGGAAGGTTTATTATTCACAACGGAATCAAATTAATAAATAATAATATTTTTATGCCTTTCAAAAATATGGTATGTTTAACTAAAATTAAATTAATTCCTCTACCATCACACCATCATGGGTAGGCACCTAAAAAATATAATGTAAAATATATTTTTGGTCTTAAATACTTCCTATACAAAATATGCAAATTTAAAATATATACAATTGTATGAAATAATCTTACAACACAAAATGTCAAAAACAACAAAAAATTAAAGAATACTATTTTAGAAATGGATGACAAGTAATATTCATTATACTTCGTACTATGTAATGAATGAGTGGACTTATAATTATTTAGTTTATGAATAAACTATAAAATACAAAACTAAATACAAAATTTAATAACAATAATTAGTGAAAATAAACTAACCTGAATTGTGAGGATTGGCTAAAAACTTATTCATTTTTTGCATCTCCTTTTTAACTAAATATTTTATAATACTCCCAGTCTGCAAACAAAATATTATGAATTTTTTATGTAATATTTGATATTTTAGTGTTTTTCATATCAAATTATACATAAAACCACCAATAATAAATAATAATATAAATTCTACCATTTGGTTTTTGTATTCATGAATATTCCAACCGTCGTCGATTGAGTCCGAATGGTTTTTGAAATCCAAAGCATATTCCATAAATTGATCATATGTCATACTCATAGTTTCAATAGGTAAATGAAAATCAATACCGATCACACATTACCTGATTCAAAAAATAATAGAAAAATAAAGTATCATATTCTTGTATTGATTTATTTCTTTATATAATTATTCATTTGTCAAATTTAAATAACAAATAATAAACGAGTTATAAAGTAGATAACATTAACATTAGTTTTAATATTTGATAATACATAGGTAGGTTGATAATAATTTACTGCGCACGAGCTAATGATAACAGAAATGTGGAATGTTATTTTCAGGGTTGAGAGTTTATAGCATTTAAAATTGCACAAATATGCGCTATAATATTATCTTAAATATCGCTAAATATGCAGTAGGTAATAAAAACAACAAAATATCCAAAAAATGTATTTATTAATAATTAACTAATAACTGACAAATTATTATAGGTTGTAACTAAGTTTTGAAATTATTTAGTCACTTTGATCAGAATCCTGAACAACTATTAAAAAAATTAACTAATTATCTTCATCAATTTAAAATGAAAACCAAGCGGTTTAAAATGTTTACATTTTTTATTCAAAAAAATTTTGTATTAAGCAGAATAACCTCTATAGTACAACATGGCGTAATATAGCAATATTATAATATTATAAAATATATGATCTTAATCTACCGAGTGCCAACTATTTGTTTTCTATTAATGTATAGGTACTTATCAATCTGCATTTTTACTTAATGTTTATTAATATTGATGTGGGTATATATATATCTTATAGAGCCGTCAAAATTGAACGCAGATATTTCACGTTATTTTCCAATTTAAAACCGCAGGTGATGTATGTGCATACCATACACCACTAATGTTTTAACTCTTACATTAACCTGCTTTATTTTATTAGCAATATCATTAATAGCAATTAATAAATTCGTATCATTTATTTTTAACAGCAACTAACTGCGTCAGCGCGGCGTATTGTTGAGACTGACTTTTCAGTCTTAGAAATGTTTTCCAAAATACCGTGTTTAGTACACCTGCCTTCAATAAATGTGTAATTCAACTGAATATTACCGAAAAAATCAAATGTTATCCTATTATCCCAACCAACTGAATCAACTAAAATCAAATTTAGACGTTGTCCATAACAATGAACAAAAAAGGATCTTTCATTTTTTTCTTTGAATTTGGCTTGAACTCTGTTTACATAACCAGACATTGCTGCGCCATCGAAACACATTGATATTACTGATTCCCATTTAATTCCATATTCACAGATAACATCACTTATAACATTAAAAATAGTTTGAGATTTGGTTTAAATTGTTACTTCTACTGCTAGACACTGCTCAACTGGACATTTATTTGCATAATCAAAATATTTTATGACTTTTGACTAGTTCTAAATTGCTCGTCTCATAGGTAATAATTGAAATTTTTTTATTTACAACTTTACTTTTCAACAGATTTTTTAAAACTTGACTTATTGATGTTATCAGATAGTTTTGAATTATATTACTACAATAAGTACCATTTTTTGGTCCTAGTTCAAGATGAGATTTAAGAAGAGTATCATATTTGACCAAAAGTATTACGATATCTTTAAACAGACCTTTAAAAAAAACACATTGCAGTAAATCCATTTTGGCTCAGAATCTAAAATATGTTAACATGGTTAGTAGGAATAATCTATGGGTTATTTTAAATTTTGGTAGGATGACTGTAGCCTCCCCCAGATTTTTTTACCCTAGTTGCGTCTATGCAGACAACTGTGTATTTTTGATTTACATCACACTACGGTAAATAAGGTCCGAACGGTTTTACTGCCACGGTTTTTACGTAATTGCTTAGTTGTATGAATTTATTTATAAATGGGTAAATATTTTATGAAAATAATTATTACCATCTATATTATTTTTTATTTACACGCACAAATGCACATTATGCAGTAGGTATGTTTCCATGCATTATTTTTACATCAAAACCAGCGGTATCGATGCAGTATTGAAGTAGAAGGCACAACTGTTACTTTCTATAGATTATTAACGCTATGTCTTAGCTGGTGCGTGCACGCACCGCAAATCGCAATGCGGTGAATGCATGCGTTTTCTAATAATAGCAAACATTCAGAAATAGATCGGACTGTCCTAATTGCCGACGCATGCGTTGAATTCACGATATCGCACCGCAGTCGCAGGTTTGAAATACAAAATATATTTTTTTCGTCGCATACGATATGCGTCGTCGCAGCCAAGAATAGATTTATTTTGATTACTTAATTTGTTTTTTATTAATTAATCGATCATATTTTTTATTGCCATGTCGTACACAGATGTTGAAAAAACAGAAATGTTGATTTCTGAAATCCAAAAACACACAGTTTTGTGGAACAAAAAAAATAATAAATACAGAGATAGGCTTATAACAGGCAAGGCATGGACAGAAGTATCTAAAGTCACAGGAATAAATGGTAATAATTATATATAAGTTTATATTAGTATATAATTTAACTTTTTTCAAACTTAATTTGATGTTAATTATTATCATAGCATTTTACTAATACAATGCACCTTTAAAATATATATTATGTATAAAGCTTTTATAAAACGCTCATAAAAATTTAATTAGACTTTCTTGTAGACATTTTTTTTTTTTTTTTGATAAAGGAAGACATTTATTACTCATAACGTAATAGGCAATATATAACAGCATTCACTGAAAGCTTATATAAGTAAATATTTTTCAGTAAAGTCAATATCAAATTTAAATATTTAAACAAGTATAATAATATAAGACGTTATAAAATAAAAATAGTTTGAAATTATATTTTGTTATGCTTAAAATATTGTACAAATCTATTTCTTATCTCTAAAACGGATTGAGATGTTCTATTAGTAAACCTGCCACCTCGAATACAATCTAAATAATTTGTGCTTGATATTTCATTTTCAGTTTCTATCGTTTTTAAATCCACCTGATTTTTTTCAAGATCAATAATGCAAAATTATGCAAAATACAAATAGCTTTGACGATATGGTCAGCATTTTCGATTTTCGTTTCAATCGATTTTTGCACAATACGAAATTTTGATGCCCCTATGTCAAATGCGCATTCAACAGTCATTCTAGCTCTGGATAACCTATAATTATAATACGATATGTTCTCGTCACCTAATTGTTTTTCGGAAATGGCCTTAACAAATGCTCTCGCAAAGGATAAGCTTCATCACCTATAAATACAAACGGTGCCACGTTTGTTGTATTCGAAAGTAATTTCGCGTTAGGCACTTTTAATACTCCTTATACGATGTATATTTTACGTATATTTTTGAATTATGTAAAACACCACCATCACTATCCTTACCATATCAATCAACATAAATCGGTAGTTGGCATCAACAATAGCCAATAGAACCTTTGAAAAAAATTGCTTGTAGTTATAATACATACTACCAGAATTCTTTGAAAATTTTACTCGTATATGCTTTCCATCAATTCTACCTATATAGTTTGGAAAGTTCCACTTATTGTAAAATGTATCTACAGTATTTTCAAAATCTTTAATAGGTGGTCTTCGCATATGTACGTCACGTAGTGTAGTCCAAATTGCCTGACAAACTTCAAGAACAATATAACTAACACTGGTTTTTGATACTCTGAAAGTCATAGCAATTGGTCTGAACGCAATTCCGGTGGCTAGATATCTATGAAATAAAATGTTTAACTCTGATTAAAGTTTATTACGATTATATTTTCGTAATATATACATAAATTTGGTTGTAAAAAATTAATAATATTTTATTTTATTTATATTTTCTATATATATTATTAAAACTAAAAAATAATATACATTATATTCAACGACAAAGGCAACACAAAATATTTTTATCGCATGAATTTGCATTTAATTTGAGTTTTTTTCCTGTTTATTACACGTATTTTTTAAAAAAAAAATTTAAATGTAAATCTTTTTAGTTATTATACAGTTATTTGTTTTTCAATCAAATAAAAAGATAAACAATGTCCAAAAAGTTTCTAATTACTATATTATATGTCAATTTCTATAGGCAATGAAGTAAAAAAAAGGTGGAGAAACTTAAGAGATCAGTTCAAAAAAGAACTTAAAAAAGTAAAAAAACCGAAGTCAGGATCGTCACAAGATAGCTTAGAAAAATATCACGGAAAATGGTCGTATTTTGTGTCTATGCAATTTTTGAAAGATATAGAGACTTCTAGAAATACGTCGGGTACATTTTCGGATGATTGTGACGAGGATACTGAGTTAGGACATTCAGACGAACAACAATCAGATTCGAACGAAGGTCAAGAAAGTAAGGACAACCTCGACAAGGAAACGACACATAGTATTGAAGTTATGGATCCATTATTACCTCAGACTGAAGCATATAATAACTTAACGCAATCGGGAAGAAATGCGCCGATATCTGAGTTAAACAACTCAACAATTAAACCAAGTGAACAAAAAAAAATAAAAAAACAACAGGATAAAATGTGTTTTGAACAACAATTACTACAACTTGAAAAAACAAAAATTGAAGCTTTTATAGACTCATCAAAAAATTCAGTAAAAGATAATGAGGACATGTATTTTTTAAAATCCATTTATCCTTATTTCGGTAACATGACTCCACAACAAAAATTGAAAGTAAGGACACAAATCCAAAAAGTGATTATGAGAGAATTATCTACACCATCATCTCAACCTATAACAATTTAAATTATCCTTATCAAACATTTCCAATACATGTGCAACCTATACAATAATCACAACCTATTCCATTCCAACCTATTTTTATCATCCTATGCAGTCTTTAGCGACCGAACAGACTTTATCATTACAATCTTATCATCCACCAATTATAATTAATTAGTTTTTAATAATTTGGTAATATTATAAATGTGTTTTAAATTCTTTTTATTTGCATACCTAAATTATAACTTAATGCTAATGAGTTTCACAAGCAGTATTACATTTTTTTATATTATAATGTCATATTATTTATTAGATACCAACAGTTATTATTATTTTTTATTTTTAAATACATAGGTGAGCTACTTATATTTGTTAAGGTCTTAAACTATTTAAAAGTAACATATTTTTTATTTTGTCTTTTATGAAAGCAGATTATTTATATTATTTTAATGTTTTCAATAAAATAACCATTTTTAAGATACATGATATAACCATTATATGATATGTGTATATTTATGAAGGCATATGTAATTTAAAAAACTAGGTTAGTCACTCTGCTATATAGTTGGTTTTAAGTGGGGCACTGTAATAAATGGTATGTATTAAATTTGAATTCAATGATATAATAAAATTGTACTTGAAAAATGATTCTTAGCTGACTATTGGAGACGGTTTGTCAGTCAAGGTATTTTATTGATTTTACAATGATGTGTTTTTTTAATTTTTTTTTTTTTGTTTCTGTCATCACCTTTTAGGACAGTAAAAATGCTTGGATTTTCTCCAACAGTATTTTTTCTGGAAAGTGAATTAGTTGGTACTTTAGAAGTCAAAAGGGTCATTTCCTAGTAGTTTTCAAAAACGCAGTGAAAAACAAAAAAAAAAAAAAAATTAAGGAAAAACGGAATTATTGTAGTTATAAATAATTTGACATCTGTTGTCTATGTTATATTTACTTAATAGTAATCAACAGTCGTTCTTCAACAGAGATTGGATCTTGAAACTTTGTGTACTTTCTTTGACAAAGTGGTGTTATATGTTGAGCAATGTAGTCAATTGTGTCTGTAGTCATTCTAGTGTATGCACGAAACATTATTTTATCTGCTCGTAATTGTGGATACAGTTGATGGAATTTTCCAAATATAAATCTATATAAATCACATTTGGAGAAGATCTCTTAGATTTTTTCTTCATTTTAAGTAATTTATACTTCAGATAAACATTTTCTATAAAGAGTAAGCTTCGTTGATCTTGAATTAACGTCATAATAAATTACAGTTATTTTCACAAACATAAATCTGAATACTAATTAACTTGACACGTTGATAACACTATACGTCTTCTCAACACAATATTGTAGTTGCAACTACAAATTATATAAGTACAAATCGTATGCGTTCTCTCGCATATTTGAATGCGTCAATTTTGCCGTGCTTGCGGGAAATAGAATTCAGTGCGATGCGGTCAAATATCGCACCGTCAACTCGCATTGCGTGCACGCACCAGCTAGGACATAGCGTAATGCGTTTAAAAGATAAATCAGATTAAAATAGTTTTCAGTTCAGCGACCTGGACAATCTTTGAATACGCTAAATCTATTATATTATTAAATATATTATATCTATTATATCTTTAATCGTAGTTGTTTATCAATGTTTTCGACGTTATCGAAGGCCACAAGATAACAAGATATCGTATCAACCGGCAGGTACAGATAAACTGTGATAACTCTAGTGTGTGATTGTTTATGTTTTTTGCTGTTGCTTCCTAACTTTCGTGGAGCGTACTTTTCGAACGATTTACTGAGATTTATGTATTTTTCCATCTGCCGCAAATACGTCTCCTACTACCACAGTCTTCGATGATCTTCTCGAATGTCACTCAGACGTTTCAATGGCAGAAACTCTGCAAGAACGGCAGTTTAACGAATTAGAAGCGTTGAAAGTGAGTACCTAGCTATTTGTTAACACTCGAACGCTTGAACGTACACATCAACTTTCCATTTTACTTGTTCCAGGCGATATTCAATGATCAGCTGAAGGATAATAATGAGGATAAATGCTATGGTACGGATAATTGGAAACCATTGGATGTGACTATCACAGTTTTGCCTGAAGGATTTACAAACTTGCAACAAAATAATATTTTAATTGACCTACATGTCCAGGCGTCAAAAGACTACCCCAACGAGTAAGACAATAATATGTATTTTTTGTGCGAGTTCATTTAATTTTGGTATTATCTAATATTTAAATTAAATATAAAATGTTGAAAATTTAATAGAAATTATACCCATGTATTGACTGGCTCTTACTGTTAAACTTAAGTTGTGGTTCTGTTATTCTAATCATTATTTGTGTATATTTATACATAACCCAAACTGCTTGTTTGCTTGACGATTATTTTACTATTAAATATAAAAACTCTATTAAATTCTTACTTTATAACAAGTCAAGCTTATGAATAATTATTTATTAATATCAAATACTGATTAATATTTTAGGATACCTTTAGTTATGCTTAAAAATGCCAATGGTATACCAGCAAATTATTTAATGCATTTAGAAAAACAATTAAATGAACTAGCTTCTAAAATAGTTGGTGAAGTTATGATATTTGAGTTTGTTCAAGTTGTTCAGGTAACTAAAGTGAAATAGTTTATTAATAAAAATATATAGAAATAATTTAAAGTTATTTGATTTTGCCTTTTAGAATTTTCTTTCTCTTTGTAATAAACCTCAGTATGCATCGTTTTATGAAGAAATGATGTCAAGAAAACAACGAAAACAATTAGAAGAAATGGAAATCAAAAAGCAAGAAGTTGAATTAACTGTAATTTGTATTTTTTGTTGTTGCATATTTAGTTATATATTTAACTTTTTAAAAATATTTTTTTTAGAAACAATTAATACATAATGAAATGTCTAAAAAACGAGAAGCTCTCAAAGAAGAACTGCGAATGCGTAAAAATAAAACACGAAAAAATACCATTGAAAATTTTATTGAAGAAGATGAAGAAGAGTTTGATTTAAAGTAAGTTTGGTTAATATAAATGTTGATATAATTGTTTATATATGATATATATGATGCAATAATAAATGATTATACTGATATGAAAATATTAAATAGTGTAAATATATAAACAAATAACAAATTATGAGACCAGTGGCAAAGCTACCTATGAGACAAAGATGAACAACATTATCAGCACATTTGTTTTTTAAATTTTTTTTTTATTTACATAAATATAATGTGATGTATTAAATATATAAATAATAATGTCCAATGTATAATATAGGTATATAAACATTTGTATTTTCCTAGTTAGTAGTTGGGATTATTAAATAAATATACTAAGAATTACTAATTTAAAATAAAAATTAATGTTAATATAGGTACCTATATAATTATTTCATTAAAAAAAATGATTATTAAATATATACGATTTCTAATTTCAAAATAAAAAAATTAATGTTTGTCTACCCTAATTCTGAACCCTAGCTTTGTTACTGAATAGATTATATTTTACATATTTTCCAATTTAATAATCGTAAATAGCTCATAAATAAATAAATTTTAAAATAATTCAATAATGAAAAATGTACTATTATATCAATAATGAGCAGAGATAATGACTTCAATAAGTTAAATCTTACCAGGTAATTTATCTAATTTTTTTTTTGTTTTACCATTTTCATTATCATTATTATTACTATCATCTATTTTACTTAATATATAATATATATAGTTATTTATTATAATTGCATTGTTGATAAAAAGTAAAAAATATATAGAATTATATTAATTATAAATGTCAATTTAATAAAGTACCAATTTTGATCTTTGTTAAAATTGATTTTATTAATTTTGTTAATATTTATTTTTAGAAAACTTGAGAGGTCACTAAGTATCAATTCACCACAGAAATTAAATATTCAACCAAAAGTAATGTTATATTTTGTTTATGTATTTGTAATGTTTATATTTTCATTATTCCTTGGTTTTTATTTATTTGTGTAATTCATTAATTATTTATTTAATTGTACAGTTTATTTGCACCAAAACATTATCAAATGTTATTTTTTTTTTTTTTTTTTTAGGATCAAATAGATGAAAGCAATTGGACTGATGATCAAAATGTGTTTGAATATAGTTTTTCATCAGCTAGATCTAGACTAGATAAAGAATTTGTTATTTTAGATTGGCTTGGTAAAGGTGCTTTTGGAGATGTCCTTAAGGTTAAACAAATTTTTTTATATCAACAATTCTCAGTTAAATTATTTGAATTAGGAATGAAAACTTAAACCCTTTGATCTTAAAAAAAAATATTTTATTAATAATTGATAAATTTAACTTACACAAAAGCAACATAAAAGTAATTAAAAAACATATTATATAATAATAAAGAGTTAAAACATTATTTCAAATAATATGCTGTGCATAAAATATAAAAGAATATTCACAGTTTTACTACTATTATAACATTTTTTTTATTAACATCTATGTCCATATCTTAAAAAAAATGATTTGACATTTATAACTTGATTCACTTTTGGTTAAAATTAATTTCTGTTGTAAACTTAATTATTAAATTATTTGAATATAGGTAAAAAATAAACTAGATGACTGTCTTTATGCAATTAAGTGTATTGAATTAAACAAGAAAAATAAAAACCTTAATAAAAAAATCACCAGAGAAGTGAAATTGCTCTCCCGTTTAAATCATGAAAATGTTGTAAGATACTTTAATTCATGGATCGAAGCCGCTAAAATCAGCCATGAAGGGACACCTCAAAAAAATTGTTAGTAAATTATTTGTTACACTAACATTATTTATATTATATTATAATAGTTAAGGCCATAGTAAAATCTAATAAATATTTTAATTTTTGATCGGGAGAAGTTTTTACTGATCCAATTATCAAGTTTTATTTTATTATTTTTTTCATTAATTTATTATGCCTGAATTGAAATTATAATAATTTACATAATTGTATTTATTAGTTATGCTTATATGCTCATAAAATATATAACAAACTAACAATTTTAGAATATTCAAAACACTTATTAATTACTTATCATTTATCATTATTTTATCTATTCTTTAGAAAAAAAATAAAACATCTGATGTATGGCCTTTAAAAAACATCAGTTGTGGTTGGACATTATCAAATCTAGCTGAAGAAATTAACAGTGATAGTAGTTCTGAAGAAGATGATGATTGGATAACGTTTATGTATGGAAAAAATGAGCATTCAATCATTTAAAACTATTTAATGTTTATTAATATTATATATTTATTATTATTTAATTATTATGTAGCCATCAATCTGATTCAGGGCAAAAAACTTCAGATTCCTCTGTTAAAAATACTACTTGTGATAACTTAAGTCAAGAATCAATAGATGAAAATGATGATGTATGTGATAAAGTTGATCAGTTTATGTATATTCAAATGGAATTCTGTGAAAAAAAGCACACTTCGGTATTTTCTTTAAATATTTTAATTACATTATAATATTATTTAAATGTTATCAAACTTGAATTTCATTGTTTTAACATTGTATTACTCTATATAGCAATGCAGTTGACAATGGTCTGTACAAAGAACCAAAACGAGTATGGCGATTACTAAGAGAAATTGTTGAAGGCCTTTCATATATTCATCAACAAGGAATAATTCATAGAGATTTAAAGCCTGTTAATATTTTCATTGATTCTGAGGATCATGTTAAAATAGGAGATTTTGGTCTAGCTACCACTATTATTCAAAGGTTAAAAATTTAAAGAAATTATATATTTTAATAATTTTTATTATTAGTGTTATAATAATTTTTCAGACATATCCCTGATATGGATTCAGTGAATACTCAAGATATTTTTGTTGACACTTCTCAAACTGGTAATATTGGAACAGCGTTATATGTTGCACCTGAACTTAATATTTTTGGACCAAAAGCATTGTATAATGAAGTTTGTATAATAATGTATTTAAATCTATAATTATAAATTCAAATGTGTAATATTTCAATTTCTTAATTTTATAAATATGTTAGTTATTATTATTATTATTTTAAATCATGATTTTAGTATAAGCATATTTTATTTATTATATTATTTTATCTCTTTTAGATGTTTCCAATGTATTCTGTACAATTCTATATAATGGGCCACATATTTATTTGTTATAACTTATAATTAATTAATAAAAAATCTCAGAGGCAATCATGAATGTTTAGATTGGGGATTATGGATATCTTAATTAATTACATTCAAAATTATAATATTTCATTATAAATATATTGTATAAAATACATATTCATTATATTTTATTTTAACTCTTAAATTGTTATTATAAATTAATATCTATATTTTTTATAATTCTTATTGTATATTTTACAAAATTTATTTTTCTGTACTTAGCTTGAATAATACTTTAGGTATATTGACAATTAAGCTTTATTGAAAATATTATGTTTAATACATTCCTTTATTTTATTTATTCAGAAAGTTGATATTTATAGTTTGGGTATAATTTTTTTTGAAATGTGTCACAAACCGTTTTCAACAGACATGGAAAGAATAAAAGTATTATCAGATTTGAGAATGTATGAATGCATTTTACCAACAGAATATCTGAAATCTGCTGATCCTGCTCAAAAACATATTATTAAGTAAAATAGTGTATGATTTTAAGCAGTTTTATATTTATTAATATTAATTTTTAAATTCAGATGGTTTTTAAACCACGATCCATGTAAACGTCCAAATTCAACAGATATATTACAAAGCCAATACATACCACCACCTCAATTGAAAGATACAGAGTTACATGAAATGGTTAGAAATACTCTTTCAAATTCCAAAAGCAAAAATTACAAGCATCTTATTGCTTCATGTTTTAATCAAGTAAGTATAAAATATATGTGTAGAATTTAGTCTTGTTTTTTTAATATGTGTATAATAAGAATTATAATGTTATATTTATATTAGGTATAAACAGTGGCGTATCCAAGATTTTTCAATGAGTGGGGGGGGGGGTTAGGGTATAGGTCTATACTATAGGTAACATATTATATTAACTATAGTTTTCTTGTTTTGTTCACTAATTTATTTTAGACATAATCAGAGTGGGCATAGATCACATTGTATATTTATCTTTGCCAAACCATTCAGTCTACTTCCACTCATGGTGTTTCGCAAATATGTTTTTTTTATTTTTAATGTTGAAAAAAATTGTTCATAGCTAGCAGTTGTAATTGGGAGAGTTGATAAAATCTTTAGAAGTTTGAAAGTAGAAGGGAATATTTATATATTACCTTTTTGAAGAGCTTCTCTAGCATCGTAAAAATAAAGAAATAGCCTGACAAATATAATAGCTTCAGTAGTTTTTGGTAAATCTTGAGTTTCTACAAATTTTTGTTGCCACATTTTAATTTCACTTACAGCTGTTAACATACTGCAATCTAAATCATCTTGATAGATTTCAACTAGCTGCTTCATTTTTTCTTCAACAAGTATATATTTGGATGGTTGTAAAATTAAGTTAATAATGTCAATTATAAATATGTGAGATAACATTTGATAATGTAATTGATTAAAAAATGATCTACAAATGGATTGAATTAAGATATTCTGTAATAATCTCTTAGAAAAATAATCAATATATGTATATATTTTACCGGAAAAGATTATTTAGTAATTGTCATATATAATGTCAAAGATAATTTTAAATTTACTTTTATCATTTAATTTCATTTTTTAATTGTATTTGCCACGTCATCAGTGGTTTGAATATCTTCAACCAGATCTATATGCTTTGTCTGAAGAAACTTATTTAATGGTAAACTAATATTCAACTCATTTCTCAGTAATAAAATATTAGTATAAATTTTAGTTGTCTTTTAGTATATAGCAGTATGTTTGTTCCTAATGTTAAAGCATTTTTATCAGACCAAGTACAAATTTTTGTCAAACTATCAATTATTGTATCTAATAATTTAAGAAAAATAATTATTGAATTATTTTGGTCTACCCATTTTATTGGATATACCTAACAGTTTTAAATTGTTATAGGTTGATGAGAAACATACAAGTGCTATTGCTTCAGATAAGATATTTAAAAAATTTAAAAACAAAATATATCATACCTTTGCAACTAGTCATGGTGCACAACAAATGGTAGTAGTGACCATATAGAGAAAATCTTCTCTATAACCTTTTTAACTTTACAAAAGTTTTACTAAAGCTGAAAAAAAAATAATCGGGGGATTGCAATATCCAAACCCTTCTCCTTAACTGCGCCATTGGGTATATAGTATATAATATATACCCATAATTATATTTTTTTTGTCTAAATATTAGATGGTTTAAGACAAAAATAATTTAACACTAAAATATTATTTGATATTAAGATTATAATATTCAAATTGTTATTTTCCAGAAAGTTTCCACTGTTGAAGACATAACATTTACTATGACAACGGGGAAAAATGTGCTTTATCATGGTCGATTAGATAAGATAATAGAAATAGTAAAAGAAGTATTCCAGCTTCACGGAGGAGTTTGGTTGTGCACTCCTTTATTAATGCCAGCATTAAATTCTGTGATAAATGAAAATACAGTTACAATGATGGCTCGTTGGGGTGGACTAACATGTATACCTCATAATCTTAGAATTTCATTTGCTAGGTTCTTGGCTCATAATCCCACAATTTCCAATTTAAAACGGTATTCGATCGATAGAGTTTACAGACAAAGAAGAGTCTATGGAGTTCATCCCCGTGAACTTTATGAGGCAGCATTTGATATTGTTAGTTCTTCTAAAGGTTAGAAATTAAATGGAGGTCACAATTTACGAGGTATTATTATTATATGTAGATATATATAAAAATATTTTTTTTTAGGAAATCTGATAGCAGAAGCAGAATTATTGTCAATAGCGTCAGAAATTTTTCAAAAACTTAAAAATTTCAATCATAACAACTGTATAATTCGTTTAAACCATATGTCACTAGTTCAAGGAATATTAATGTATTCTGGAATAGAAAAGGCGCGTCATTTAGAAATATGCAGATATTTTGCAAGATTTAAAGTAAATGGATTTACATATATTAACTGTACAATAAATTTATGATATTGATTTACGATTTGCAGCAAAAGGATTTGACGCAGGAACAAATTGAAGAATTGGAACTTTTAGGGTTTGCGAATCATCAAATAAATATAGCCATGAACTTTTTTTCAATGGAACATTCATTTACTGATATGGTTGAAGTATGTCGTAAAATAACGGTGCGCAAATCAAAATGTGGTATTTTCTCTCGAGAAGGCTTACGTCATATAGAAACTGTCATCAAACACATAGAATCATTAAATGTGAAAGTAAATTAAAACAATTATTTGAAAATACAATGATATCAAATTCCAATTAAACCATATTTTTAGTTTACAGTCGTTATTGCACCGGGATTAATGAATATTTTGCAATTTTATTCTGGATTTTTATTTGAGATAGTTTATTATAACAAAAGCAAGAAGAATGTTGCAGAATATGATGTATTAGCAGCTGGTGGTTGCTATGATAAGCTAATTTCTTCATTTAGGTAACTTTTTATAATTTTTTTTTTCAATAAAATTGAATAAATATATTCCAGTATTATCTCAGAAGAAATTTAGATGTGAACAATGATATAAAGCAAACAGCACTTGGTATAAGTCTCTCACTGGATAAACTTGCTGCATTATTTCCTACTGAATCATCAGAAATAGATGTAATACTGTGTTCAGCATGTAGTAATAGTATAATGACCGAAGAAAAATTAAATATTGCCAGAGATTTATGGAAAATGGGAATTAAAACACTGGTTTTAGATGTAGAACAAGTATAGTTATTTTTATTTTCGATATTTATTTTGAAAAAAGAGCAACCTATTAAACTATACCATTTTAGACATTGGAACAAATTCAAGATTATTGTCAGGAATTATATGTTACTAATATTGTTATGTTAAAAGAGACCAAATCAGTGATATTAAGACGTTTAATGGAAGATAAGTTAGTAATATTTTATTTTAAATTGTTGAAATTGGTACTGAGATATGCATTTAGATTTCAGGATAAGGTAATGAGTGTAACTGAATTTTTGGAATTGATGCGTCGTAAAAATAGAGAAAATAGCCTGACAAATATAATACCTCAAATTAATAATTCTGTCAAAAATGATACACGATCTACTAGTGAAAATCAATATATAAATATAGTATTTATCATAGAAGAGAAATTGGTAACAACGGTCAAACGGCGTTATGAGAGTCAGGTATCTATTTTTGAATAATGCAGTTTATTTCAAAAATAGTTTTAATATTTATATATAGTTCAAAAATATTTTTTTATTTCTTTAGATTTCAAATGCTGTTTCGAAAACACTTCAAAAATTATCACCAAAAGTACGCGTTGAAATACTAGCACTTAATGTTGATGCTGAACTTGTCAAAGCATTAGGATCATTAATTGATTTTTCAACTATTGAAAGTGATATTTCTATTTTAATAAAAAGGTAAAATTAATAAAAAATTGTTAGATGACTAAATTAATTTATTTTTATATTTTTAGATTTTCTCATCATAAGAAAGATTTAAATAAAGTATATAATTATATCATTGATACAAAACATAAAAACACTGATACTGTTTTTGTATTTTATACATTAAGAGGAAACTTATTTAAATTAATGATTTGTTAATCATTTATAATTTTTTTATTTTAAATAAATTATTTACAATCAATGATTTTTATAGTAGTTCTGAATTTTAATTCTGAATATGACATAAATCAAAGTCATCCTTTTGGTCATTACATTATAAAAAAATATTAGGATAATAGCGAATATGCTAATTTGAAATAAAAATAAATTAAAAATATTATGGTTACAATAATATATGTATGTATATACTAGTTGAACCCGTGAACTTCGTGGCCCGTGAAAAATCCTACCTCTTAAATGTCACAAACTGTATATTAAATTCATTACCTGTGATTATGCTAGCAGTATATTTTTATATATATAGATAGATAACGGTTAAAATATACAACGTAATAATCTTACAACCATATTCAATTTAGTTTATCATTATGTAATTTTATTCGTGTTATCGAGAAAAGTCTCTGATAGTTCAAGTACCTATTCAATTGAATGTTATTTATTGAAGTGCATTGAATACACAATATTTATTGTTGTTCCTTCTGGTGCATACACAAATAAATCAAGTTTTCCTAGCATGCCACATACAGCTATCCATGTGAGAAGCATGGATTTTCCAAATTCAGTCCACACACTTGCACGTGTCTCCTGATATCAACGTTGGTAATGGTTCGGGTGGTATATTTGTATGTGCATATGTAACTCGTATTGCCATTTTCTTTCGTGCTTGAGCCGTAGAACTACCGATCGATCTTTTTTTGGGCGATATACATAGGCGGATATTTGGTTAAATTTTTTTTTTTTGGGGGGCAAGTTTTTATTTTTTTCATTGCACTGAAACTACTTTCGAAAGTAGCCAAACTATGTAATTGGTATTGTTAATGCTATTGTAAATAGTTTTTTATTATTTCTTATTTTATGATTTTCAAAAAAAAAAAAAAAATAAACAGATAATTATAAATAAATTATAAAAACAACGAATAAAATTTCCAACAAAGTTTCGATTTTGGGGGGGCTATTAAAATATTTGGGAGTCAAGCCCCTCCTCCCAAGCCCCCCCTGATATCCACCTATGGAGACATAACAGCATTTAAATGACGTTTTTATAACAAAAAAACTCAAAATATCAATAAAAAATTTTAATGCCGTAGACGCACGTGCGATGGAAACAAATCATAAAAAAATAATAACAAATTCATGGATAATAATTTCTTACGCAATAATTATTATTATTATTGAAACTAATAGAAATCATCTAAAAACAAACATTTCCATCATAAATCTCAAAATGTCTGTTTGAGCATCTCCCGCGGATGGGCATATCACTTTTTAACTTAGCTTATCTTTTACCCATAGGCTAGTATATCTCTGTACCAAATTTCGTCGCCATCAGTCCAGCCGTTTAGGAATGCATAAAGAACAAAAAAAACAGATAGAAATCCATTTTTATACATATAGATTTATTGAATTATATATTCTAGTGGTGTCGTAATTGAAACTTCAACAAGGTATAATAAAGTGAATGTGTGATTCTTCTATTTTTGATACCAATGTTAAAAAAATTAATTTTACGCTAGCAAAATCATTGTTAAAAACCCAATTAAAGTATACTGAATCAATAAGATGTTTCAATGAAAAACATACACAATTGTAGAGTGATAGTAAAATATAATTACATTTTAATGATAAATAAATAAATTAATAATAAATCATAACTTATATACATTCACTTTTAGTTTTTATATTGTGCAACAGAAAATTATAGGAATGTTTTACACTTAAATCTTTTATATAGGATTAATAAATATCTTAATTCCATATAACTATAATAATTACATTTGGTTATATTTTTTTTAGTTGGAAAAATTATTAACATTTACAAATAAAATAAAGAAAACACAACGTGTCTTGGATTAAACATATATTTTTATAAATATGCATGGCTTTAAAATCATGATAACAATAACATCGGATTATATTCATTATTATCAATACCGATAAATTAAATTAAAAATACATATATATAATAGCTTTATGAATAATTACATTTTAAACACAAACAAATAGGATAAAAATAAGTATCATTTGATATGATACATCTTACCATGTAAGTATATGATTCATATGTATTAAGCCAAATAAAAAATGAGAACAAAATTATATTGTAATGCTATGTAGAATATTATGACAGTACTAACATGTTTACTGTACAATCGTAATTACTTATTTTTAATTGATTGAATTGTGTGTAAAAGCTGTGTAGGATGTATTGGGTAGTTTAATTTCATACAAATAAAAATATTTTATAGTGATTACCAAACACAATGAATTATCTAATAAAAAAATAATTTTTGATTTCTAATTTAAATATGTATACACAAATACTATTTTCATTAATACATTATACAATAGAAATATTAAGATTTTATTATACTTAAACATAGGACTTAAATTGAGTAAGGGACGTAATGGGACTCAGACTCCGTACCTCTCACAACACTTACAAAATTTCACTCTCACTCTTTTAACTAAAATAACTGTCCACACTAAACATTATTAGCTAGTTATAAATTTAAAATACAATTTTTAAAAATAAATTATTTTATTTTAAAGTTATCGATTATTACGTCCACTGGTGGTTAGACCGTATCTGATAGTTACAGTAAATATAATTCTACAAATAATAGTCAATTTATATTTAAAATTAATTATACATTATATACATGTATATTTATAACTAATTAGTAATTGTAAGGAATAATTAAAATGGTATAGGGATCAGAGTCCCCCTCGCCTGCAATTGTATCACTGATTTTAAACCCTGATTTTACCTAGGTATATAAAGTAAGTTTACATAATTAACTAACTGTTACATTTTTTTTTTTTTTGTTGCTATTTTCAAAAAAATATTTAACAGCAAAACAGTTATATTAGAGTTACAAATTTATATACCCAGAAATACAGTAAAAAAAAAAAAAAATGTACAGTGTCTAGATTAAGAAGTCAGAAGACTTAACATAAATTATGATTAAATATATGGTAATACTGAGGCAATCATGTAGCGAGGCAGGGGGAAGAATTAAGAGATAGCTTGAATGAAGAGTAAAGAAAACTACTACATTTAATACCATTAAATACAATCAGTCCGTATAATAATTAACTATCTGTATATACATAGTTCAATAAGTTTTGAGACTGAGCTTATAAATTTAATAATACTATATTATGTATATATATACGTTATGTTATGAAATTCTGAGCATTTGTTAGTACTGGGTGCCTTCCTGCAGATTCGGATCTAGAAATTAAAAAGGGGGAGGGCTAGTAAAGGGAGTTCAGCCATAATTTGTTGCGCATGTCGATCTGTACGAAGTCTTTCTTACGTCTAATTTTTTAAATATTTCAAATACCTACGTCCGATATGGTTCTACCTAATGTTTTATGAGAGGGGGTTCAGGCTTTAGTTTTTTAGAATTTAAAATGTAATACAATTTCATTCATATGCTTATTTAAAAATGGACGATCACCTATCTTTTTTTAAAAACTTCTTAAATTTGAATTCACTATAATCATAACAGAAAGTTTATGTAAAAGCTTTGTTGAATCTTAAAAAAATTTACTTATAAACTTTCAGTCATAAATTAATAATAATAACATTCCGTGAAAGTTGTTGAATTAGATTTTTAAATACTTACGAAATATTAGAAGGTTAGGTTATTCCAAAATAAAAAGTTGTTCATGCACATAGATGTTAGTACATTTATTTTTTTTTTTTTACTAGAACTACGTGTTTTTTTTTGACATATTTAAGAAAAATAAACGGATCACTATTAGAAAAAATGAGGTGCGATATTAAAACAAGTACGAACATTTCGGACTACCTATTCCTAGGTATTAGTTCATACATTTTTGTCAATATTTAAATGTTAACCTAGTAACGTTGAGTATATTCAACTCGAGTTACTTATAAATTCACAATCGAAACCAAATTATTTCCGACTCGAGTTACTTATAAATTACTGATCAAAACAAAATCAAAACATTTTAATTAACGTCCGATATAGTTTTACCTAATTTCTTATGGGAGGGGCTTCAGTTTATTAGAACTTCAAACGTAGTACAATTTCATTCATATGCTGATTTAACAAAATATTTAAAAATGGACGACCACCTATCTTTTTTAAAAAACGCCTCACATGTGAATTCACTATAACCGTAACAGAAAGTTTACGTAAAAGCTTTGTTGAACTTTAAAGAATTTACCTATAAACTTTCAATCATAAATTAATAATAATAACATTCCGTGAAAATTGTTGTATTAGATTTCCAAGCACATGCGAAATATTAGAAGGTAAGGTTATTCCAAAATAAAAAGTTGTTCATGCTCATAGATGTTAGTACATTTTTTTTTTTTTTGAACTTCTTTCTTTTTTTTTTTTTTTGACATAATTACGAACAATAAACGATTCGCTGTAGAAAAAATGAGGTGCGATATTAAAACAAGTACGAACATTTCGGACTGCCTATTCCTAGGTATTAGTTCATATATTTTTGTCAATTTTTAAATGTTAACCTGGTAACGTTGAGTATATTTAATTCGAGTTACTTATAAATTCACAATCGAAACCAAATTATTTTCGACTCGAGTTACTTATAAATTACTGATCAAAACAAAATCAAAAAGGAATTTTAATTAAATTTTACCATAAAGTATATATATACAAAATACATACATAATATATAAATTTCCATAATAATTTGCTTATTAATTCGTGCAATACTCGAGTAACCTACTTGTTAGCTCATGGCGGAAAAAAAAAAATCGTTTTAAGATTTAAAATTGCATGTTGTATTCTGCGACCGAAAACTTGGTCAGCTACGTTTTTTTGAAAAGCTCGTGAAAGTAATTTGATCACAATTACACGCATAGCATTGAATTAACACAGTAAGGTAATTTCGGTGTAACATCATGTTATCAAAAACAAAATAACATCATTGTACGATCGAACTCGACTTACTTATAAATTCATAATTGAATGGAGGGATAGCATTTGCGTACAACGTACTAATCATCCAATCGGTATTCGGCAACCGTCTGAACTCTATTTACTTATAAACTTAGAGACAAAGAGCAGCATTCAATGTATATGTGTGTAGGCAGGGCCGTGGAGAAAAATCAAGGGTCTCAGGGACAAATTAATCCAGGCCCTTCCTACACGAGGTATTAAACTTGCCACAGACATCCAGTGTCTTCTTTTAAAATTTGTATAACGAATTTTTACCTAACCGAGACGTAGTGAGCTTGATCAGGCCCCGGGCCTTTATTGAAGCCCAAGCTCCTGGGAGACATTTCCAGCAGCCCCTCTCTCATTGGGCCTGTGTGTAGGTTGTAAAACTGCAAGCAATTGCACTCCATTTTATCATATCGTATACTATAAGTCGAATGCTGGTTAAATTTTCATAAAATGTTTATAATAGGTATGTTGAAATGTCTTAGCTCGGAAGAATGTGTGGACTTCCAATGTGAACAGTGTCGCAAAACAGCAATTTCGAGTCTAAAAGAATTATAATAACTTATTATTAATAAGTATAATATACGATGTATAATGGCTTGGTGTGCAAATTCATTAACAGAAATTTTTATCGTTTTTTATTATTACTACCAATTAATGAAAACATAAATTATTTTAATTTTATAAAGACAGTATAAATGTTAAATTTATATTTGTAGCTTGGTTAAATCATATTTTAGTGTTTTATCAATGGATAAAGTTGTTTAAAATAAAAAGATAAAATTTACTCCCCAAAGGTTTAACGAGTTTTATCATAAAACAATTATTAATAAATAAAAAGATTTAAAATCATAGATTTTAATATTTTGCTTGAACATTAAATAAATTATGCATATTTTAATTTATATTATTTAATAGCTTATACATAAGTTCTTAAATAATACAATTATGTTTATTATTATTATAAAATTACATTTAACATTTTTAACAAAAAAAAAAAAAAAAAAAAAAAATGAAAGCTAGCATTATGGTTACATTATTATTGAATATTGATGAGAAAATGTTTTAGAATCGATCGAACCTATCGTACAAGGACTCACATTAGGATTAGTCGTACGACGAACTTGTCGTATGACAGATTTTATGCACGTTCAAACTTAATTTGGTCGTACTACGCGCCTTGCAACAATACCACACACGTTATGATAATAGTTTGCAAAATCGTATTAAATAAAATAGCACAATCTGTCATACGATTGATGTATGGTGTGCTTAATGATTGGAATAATAATTTAATGACATTAGACCAATTAGATACATAAAACATTTCACTTCCCAAACAATTAAAAAATGTTATAAACATGTTTGAATTATACATTTATTTGCCAAATGAATTATTTATATCAATGAAATATATTTGAATTTTATTTTAATATTATACTTATATTATTTATTAATAATCTTATAGTATACTCTAGACTTAATCTAGATATAATACAAATAATTTTTCTTACATATAATGATGGCCAATTTGTATATAAAAATAATGAAACAAATTATTGTGTTGCTATAAATATTATATAAGTATGCATCAAATTAAATTGGTACAACCCAATAACTGACTTATTAAATAAAAATTTAATCTACAATATTCTTCCATTCCGTCAGAAATTGAGTAGGTACTACCAAATATTTTTCACCAAACCCAATTATTTTTTTAAATCTAAAAAATGTCAGTATGCTTCTTGTAAAAAAATTAAAAACTAAAATAGTGCAGAAAAGTTATTATTAAGCGATAATCATGATAAACATTAAGAAGATATGCTACAATAATTTATTACAAAAAAAAATTATAACACTGTAACAAAAATTTAATCTAAGTGGGTATTATATTTGACATTACAGATATTTTCACTTAAAATTTCGTTTATATTTAATAGTAAAAATTAGACATTTTTTAACTTCAAAATGTATGAAACATTCATTATAAATCAATGGCAAATGTGGCAGCTCAGGAATTGGATTGAATCTTTTCGAATAGTTTCAAAATCTGAAGAAAGAAGTAATTGAGGTAATATTTTATTCTGACACTTTTGGTGGTTATGACCGTAATCAAAATATTATGACATTGATGATAATTATAGTTCAAACCATTCACATTACAAAATCGAACATGAATTTATGGAAGTAGATTTAACGCAATGTTTCACAGGGAAAACAAAAAAGCATGTTTCAGTATTCCCTGTACCAGATGTTATGTACTAGGGTCACTGCCTTTAAGACAACAAATTAAATTAACATGCATATAAATATATTAACTTAAAATTTTAAGTTATTTTCTTAAATTTAACTTATTTATTAGCTGGTATTACAGCATCAGTCTAATAAAATAAAAAAGTCAATAATATGACATTGAATCATCTGTAAGGTCAAGAATATAAAATTGAATTAAAAAAATGTTCAAATGTTATTTTTCGAAGTTTTACTATTTGCCGTTTCTAAATTTTTGAACCAAGCCAAATTACTTATTATTATAATGAATAACTTATTTTAATTAATAATTGTTTTTTTCATATAAAAGTGCAATTTAAGAGGTAAAAGTAAGTTTTACAAAAATAAATAAATAAATGAGACATAGAACATTACTTTCCACCCCAACATTAGGCAGTAATTTTAAAATGTATTTCCAAAACCTTTATAAATTTATCAGTTGTTTATTAAAAATAAATGAACATAACATAACACAAATGATTTTCAATTACCTTTAATTACCTCGCAGTTAAATGAACGATCAAAACGCAAAAAAAGGTACAAATTTCGCAACTGTACATTTAGTTGATAATTGCTTATCCTTTAAATAATATTTTTCCGAAGTTAAACTTATACAGTAAATGATACATAACTTAAAATTCTTACAGTTAGTTTTAAACTCTCTATCCATTTTTACTTATAAAACTGTTATATATTTCAGAGGCGAATCAAGCTCAAGAAAACGGATGAGGGATATGCAATCAAATATTAGTTTCAAAGAGAAATTTTTATAAAAATCACTTTTTGAAATTTATTTAGAAAAAAATATAGAAAGCAATATCGTACTATTGATCATTTTACTTAAGAACTAAGAACTTGTATAACGCGTTGATGTCAAGTTAAATAAATATTTTACCTCAAGCCAGCAGAATTGTATTGTTTTTATTTCTTGTGTTGTCGGTTAAAATCGATTTCCGCCAAACGTTTCCTACAGGAAAAACATTAGATAAATAATAATATTATTAGACAGGAGATGTTTACATATTTGCACAAAGTAATATTCATCTATTTAAATTACCGGAAATGTTTATTGTTTATATAACTAGAATTGTACTTACATCCCTAGAATTATAATTTTTTTTCAATACTCTGCATGGATGTTAATCAATAAGCCCAGGCCCGAATTTAAAAATTTCGCACCACCGGGAATATATAATTTATATAATATAATGTTTATTATATTTATATTTATTATAATATTATATTTATTCCGCCTCCCAAAAAAATAAATAATAATAGTAGGTATAACACTTATTATTTTGTCCATATTCGAGATTCTTTAATATTAAAATATAACTTATAAATGAAAATGGTTTAATACTTTTTTTAATTAACAAATTTTAATATAATAAAAATACAATTTTTTTAATTTACAAATTATAACATAATAAAACATACTATTTTCTTTTTTTTATTGTTGTATTTTTTTTTTATTAGGTACACCATTTTTGCGACACGATTGAGCATAAAAAACTCTGCAACGTCGCCATTTTCAATTTTGAACTGTATTATAGGTACAAAAATATTTATTTAAATAATTATAATAATTCAATATATAACATGGCAAAAAAAATATAATATTTTCATAGTCAATAACTGTTGTCCATTTATGATATTCTGATAGAAGGTTCGCCAAAAATCTACAAACAAATTATTATATTTTGTAAAAAAGTACTATATTATATAATTATTTCTTACTTTTCTCCACCATGATTGTCCTAAATGAAATCTACATCCAATTATTTTAATATATCCAAACACGTCTGTTATTGCCCGATGAGCTCCAATTTCAAAATCAACATGAAATGTATTTATTTGCAAATAACGAACGAACACTGATATTATTTCTATAATAATGCTGGAATTGTATTTTAATTATCTTATATTTTCCCCCCATGCTAAATGTTTAAAAAGTCGTTTTGCTCCGGAACTAATTTATTAATCGATAACATTGTCGATAAAGCTGAGGGGCTCGCTCACGGCTCGCGTCATATATCATAATAAGTAGTGTAATAATAAGTGAAAATAATAAATTACAAAATGTTGGCAACGTGAATGTGACAACATCGCATAAAATATTCTATGCTCAATCGTGCTTTCCCGTCATTTTTAAAATTAATTTTGCTAAAATATTTTGCCACCCCCGGGCATGTGCCTACCCGTGCCCCCTAAATATGGGCCCGCATAAACCAAAATACAACAGACTCTTGGTAATCCGGCTGTTCGACAATCTGGTACGTCCAGTAATCTAGCAGTATTTTATCTTAAAATAAAAAACAAAAACAATTTGATAATTTTTTTTTTAGACTACTACCATCAGAAAATTAATTCACAGTATGCTATAAATTATTACGTATGTACCTATGTATTATTTATAAATTAAGGTTTTTCAATAAATGAAATTGCGATTTTATGTGAAACTCCATTAATCCAGCGTTTTTGTTAATCTGACAGTCCCCTTTACTTATATCTGTTAGATTATCGATAGTCTACTGTATTTGAAACATTGTCGATCATACAAGATTAATATGATTTTCGTAATATGTATACAGATTTAAATTTACTCTTAAGCGGTTTTTTTTTTTTTTAGACATCTATAATTTTATAAAAAATATTTAGTTTATTTTAGGTAATTATTTTATGCTATAACTGCCAGACAGAAATACCTTGAATATGTTAATTCACATAAAAATCGATTTTCTTGACGAATAGTATTGGTGTCATGGAGAAATTTTTTTTTCAAAAACGTGGTGACGATTCGCGATGACTATCATATGGCGACAACAATTTTACAAAAACGACCGATAGAAAAATTCCATTATCACACCATAATAAAATAATTCATAACCGGTTCCGTTTGGGACTAACGTACCGCCCCGGTGTATTTATACTGTTATCGTATTGAACTTAGGAATCCATGGTCGTAATACGCACGCGCGACTGTATGTAATTACTCCTCATAATTAGGGCTCTCACTATCTGCAGGTATCTCATAAGTATATTATACCTGTATTATAAGAAGTGGCAGAGGTTTAATCGTACACGTGTGTCGTTAACAAATTGTATCCGTTAAGATTGATTTAAAACACGTATATAACACACGATAATTTGGTATGTACTAACTACCCTTGAATATGATATAATTTATGTGTCCCCGACGGATAAGATATAATTATATTGTAGGTACTCTATAAAACGTGTAGTTAGTTAGTTTATCTGGTGATGTCTCGTTTATTTTTTTTAATTTCTTGTTTGGAAATGTATTAAAACCGAAGGTGATCCGAAATTATAATTTGCTCTATACGTATGACCTATCTGCATCATAATATACTGTAGCTATAGATTCGATCCTATGAGATTTTCAGTGCTCGAGCTGGACAATTCAAACATTTAAAATTTTTTCCCTTACACTATTTCTGAATGAAAACTATACTCTGGTATATATAATTTAATTCCTAAAACCATATTTAGCTCAAATTATTTATTTATTAAAATTCAAATATTCATAAAAGTTACTGCTTTCATTACATTAATTCAGTGACATTTTTCACTATTAATTTACTAACCATGTGTATAGCGACCTTAGCTTATTACAGATATAAAAGAGAGTTAAAAAAGAGAAAAAAGAATAAAAGGAATTATAGGTAAAAAAGTTAAAAAAGGTAAAAAAAGTTAAAAAAAAATGTTCAGCCATTATCTTTAAAATTAAATGAAATACATTTTAATTTGAATATATTTTTTAATTGTTATCGAAAAAAAAGGCATTTGTTTTCAAATCCGAAGTTTTAAGGAAGTCTTACTAAAATTTTAAGGTTAAATAAAACTATAAATTTGTATGCAATGATTCATTGTCGTGATATTTTTTTACCTTATAAAAATACTAATTATTTTGCAACACTGATAAAGTTGTTTTCGTATATAATATTTATACATCATGTATAATCGTGTACTTTTAAGCTTTTACTACTATTTTAATGGCACTTTCTTAGTTCACAATTTCGATTTACATTTATATCATTAAATTTAATATTATATTTATATTCTGTAAAATAACTTTAACTATATAACACATAAATAAATATTGTATTATAAAACTAAACTAATATTTTTTATTAATTTAAAAAAAAAATACATTTTTACTTACTCTTAATAACAAAAATGTACGTATATTTATAGAATCACCAATTTAGTTTCATTGTTTAAATATTGAATAACAAAAATGTACTATAATATTATAATATATCAAGTTATTTCATTTGAACAAAAAAATTATACTTCATATGTGATGATGCTCTGAGTACACGATTGAATGAACTACCAATATTACAACTCGTAATTCAGATATCAGATTGTAATTCAGATATCATTCGATTTTAAGTTTCAACCATTTTGTTTCATATTTACAAGATTTCGGAAATAACGTTTAAAATTAAGTACGGCGGAATTTCAAACACTACAATATCCATTATCGGTGCTGATAGAGATTACCAAAATTGATTTTTTAGGTGTATATTATGTCTACATAATGCGTTTAACTTTTCATATGCAGGTCATTTTTGGTAAGTCCAAAAGCGGACCTTCCTTCCCGTGACAAATTCCTCATTCATGCTAATTGATAGGTATTTTGTATTTGAATGGTAGGACACGTGAAATGACAGCGAAGTTTTCATATTAGTCTGCTCACTTTAACTTCGAACATTTAAAAAGAATAAATTATTGTGTCGCAATTTTGATTATTGTAACTTGGGATTTTCAAAAAATGAATAAAGAATATGAAATATAAAAAATAATAAGACCATTTTTAAAGTAAGCAAGATTTTCATCGCAATGAGTAATAGTAAAATACAATTTTTCCCAAAGTTTTTTACATTGTTACCTCTACAATTAATGATAGCTTATGATGTAAAAGTGTTTTTATCAAAGTCACTTTAAGTGACTAAATAAATGAGGGTTTAATATTAAAAAAAATCACATTATATAATATATTATATTTACAAACTAATAATTTTATTTTATTTCAATAAAAATGTATCCATTACCTACTCATTCTTACTTCTTAGGTAAATTTTGCTATATTTATGGAAATTAAGCAATCAATGATTTAATAATTTATATTTTCTTTTAAATAATCAAATTAATAAAGATAACCAATAATAGTAGACTATTATTATAATCAATAATAATAAGGATAGTTGGACATAAAGGTATATAATACAGTAAATAATTATGATTTAAAAACTTATTGTTTATGATATTTTATAATCATATTTTATAATTACCATTATAATATTTTATAATATTAGACTTTTTTATATTTGTGGTTAGATGCAGTTTTGACGGGTACTAATCAAAATTGAGAAAATAAAAATTACGTGATGTTAAAATACTAAAAAACAGCGAAAATTAGGAAATGTACTTTTGGTTTTCTGATCGAATAATGGATAAACCGATAAGCAGTTAAGTCGTTATTGAGACATATACTGTCTAATTCCGTGTAGTTCTAGTCGTGCAACATGTATCAGACAAAATGAAACTAAAATTATTTTGGCATCAAAATTAATATTTTACTACGCAGTACCTTACATTTGTTTCAATTTACGTTTGACTAAAAATATTTATAAAAATATATAGTCCGAATCTTGATTCAATATATTAATGAAATTAGAAGGAATTTCGGTCGCGAACTTAATAATAATTTGTCTTATCAATTGATTGAATGGTTTATGGCATTTTTTAACTTGGTCAACTTTTTTTATATCACTTAACTATCTACATATCTAACCATAGTAATTAAAATAGTTCATAGAATACAAACATAATATTAAATTTAATTATATACATACAATTATGTACATTGACATAGTGAAGACTTTCTTTATGTATACCTTTATTTAATTCCCGTTAAAAAAACAAAATGTTTACGAAAAATAATTTTAAGTTTTTATTAAACTATTGTTTACAAATAATTAAATTTACCATCAAACATAAATTACTTTAATTTTTAGATATATGAATAATATGCTAGTATACGATGATTAACTGATTCGCTCTACTTCAAGTGTAAAATAGTGTATCTTAATCGTAATACAATTTTATAACATACAGTTCAAAATGATGTATATGATATATGAACAACAAAAATGGATAAAAAAAAAAATTAACATTGAGCAAATTTAATTTTTACATTATTGATTTAGTTATTTAACTCCCAAAAGGCAAACTTATAGAATTATGTTAACATAAGTTAGTAAATAATACCATTTTCGTCATTCTTAATGCCAAATTCAGTAACATAGTACCTTGTTTTGAACAATATTCATAATACATGATGATATTGAAGTGTGAAACATGTATATTATTATTACAAGTTATAAAATTATATTTATTTGTCTTGCTGATGAAATTCCATAAGGAGATAAATGGTGACGATCAAAAGACTAATTACTACGAGATTGTACGATAACAAATTTATCGAAATCGGCCGTCTAATTTATCCCGATAACACTTGATTAGGTACATGTATACATATATGTATTATATCTTAGAGCTGGAAATATATTTTTAAAATTATTTGATTCTTTTGAAATACATCCAAAATTGAACTAAAAATTACACAATTAAGGTATATGTGTGTACGCTTTTTATTACAGTACAATATTACGTGTGAACTCATATAATTACGTAACAGTTTTTATTTAGTTTTGTATATGTAACGTTATCAATAAATGCGTAAAATGTATAAAATCACAAGTTAAACTATACAGCATACGTACCTGTCTATTGGAATGAAAATAATTTGTTAGCGCTCTCCATTTGGTCCAATCAAAAATCCAATATTCGTCGTCAGTTTAACTGAATAGTTATATTGTAACAAAATCTGTCCCGTATCGGCGCAGTCGTCATAAATCATGACATAATGATCAGACCATGGCGAGTTTTTTCTGCATAAGTGACGTGCTTATAAGTTGATAGTGTTTAATATACTCGTATTTCGTGGCATAGTTATCGAAGTATGAAATAGTCAATTTGGGCTTACGACTGGTTAGAAACCCAATTTATTGGATTTACCGTGTTTTTATGGTACAAAACACACGATATAATATATGAGCCTATACAGCATATTCCAAAAATGCACAACTCCAGCGGAAGTGTGAAGTATTGTCACGTGATATGTAAATATATACATCGTAAAAACAAGGAATCGAACTACATTATCAACAATGTAATCTGTCAGTCTCGGTGGAATAAAAACGATCGGAACCTACCTACATAAAAAGCATTTATTAAAATTGTTATTAAATATCAATACATTTTACCATTGTTTGAGCACACGTCTTAAAATAAGCCTATAGGTTAGATTAGTAAACTTCATTGGTATTATAAATTTTATAATAAGTACGCCGTATATGTGCATAATTCGAAAAAACAACTTAACTGAATTTGTGGATAGCAGAAAATAAATAAATAACGATAAATATATAACCAAACACTTACTATAAAAAATAAATCTTGGTCCCAAAGAACCATTTTTTTGAAGGATCTGACTTCTAAGTTACGGCTCTGGCATACAAGTAAATAAAATTATAGATTTTATTTTTATTATTATTATTATTTTATTTTTTATTATTTTTTTATTTTTATTTTTTTATTTCATTTTTTATTTTATTTTTTATTTCATTTTTATTTTCACAAATTTTTTTAAACAAGTTATAAACCAAAAATTGTTTTGTTACGTTTGAATTTCCTCATTTTTTCTGTTTGTTCGAAAAAAGTTGTACGACATATTTCTGTATTCCAGCATTTTATAATTTCAATTTAATTACTTTTGTCTTAAAAAAAGTGTATTAGTTACAATTGGTACATGTTTATTTTTTTTTTAACATACTTACATGAAGTTATTCATTTCTTATGATTATTAATAATACACCATAAATCACGATAAATTAATTTAATTCACGATGTTTATGCATAATACAACGAGATATCCTCAATAACTAAGAAATATTAATAACATTCGATTTTAATTCATTCAGATGAGCTAAAGGAGCCCCTAGACATATTTTACAGAGCCATAGGGCTTCACGGAGCACAGTTTGAGAACTGCAGTTTTAAAGTAATGATTTGAGAATATGTATGTTACGGGCAATATGGATACCGGGCAAAATACCCATTGCTCGGGTAATTTATTCATGTCCGGCCAATTTGAACCTCGAATAGAAATAAATAATTTTTAAACTTAAAATAATATACTTTAAAATATTTTACTAATAATTTCTTATAATTTTATTATAATATAGAACATGGTATAAAATATCAGTATAATATTTCTTACTCACTATTTATATTATTCTATGTTATATCTATTATTTTCCCATAACATATTGATAAAAGTAATAGCTAAGCCGATACAATCAGACAACAATATATGAACAATAATTGATATTTACGATTAAGCAGTCAAGTTTACGTACTTTTCAAGACACATTGTACTTTGCAATTATGTATTTATATTTGAGGTTCAAATTCCCCGGGCAGGACCAAATTTCACGAGCAATGTGTAAATTGTCCGGTATTTTATATTGCCCGTAATATATACACAGTTTACGCTCTTTTAACCTCCAACACATTAGGTATGTCTATTATTTACATAAATAATAAATAAATACAAGAATCGCAATTTTATTAAATGTAATTAGGCATGGCATTCTGACTTGGAATTTACAAATAATATAAGTAGAAAAATTATTGAATAGAGGCTTAAATGGGTTTTCAACATGTTAATGAACTAAATAATTTATTGCCCTCAAAATACAACTTTAAACAAAAAAATATAAGTACATAAACTCGTTTTCTGAAGCAGTGTGAGTTTGCAATTAACGACAATCAGCTATGTATTGTGTGCATTGACATGTCGTGATGTAAAAAGTTTATAAAACATAAAAAGACCATAAAATACGCAGGGTACATAATATGAACACAATCAATAAGTTATTATTTTTAAAATAGTTGTAATAGTGATTACAGAATATATATATATCTTGGGATTAAAAATTACAAGTAGTATTTAACTAATAATGAAAGCTACTTACATAGGCACAATTTGATGCAAGAGCGTATTTGAGGGGGCAAAGGGGGAATTCGCCTTCCCATGTCTCGTATTTTTTTAAATATAATACATTGATTT